TTTTAAATTATATTGCAGTTGACTTCAAAACAAGATCTACAAGATCTCATGCTAATATTTTTAATTACTTAAATCAAACCATAGTGGGACACTGTATTCCACTTTCTGCCTTTTCTCTGAACCATTGGAGTAGTCACTTTAGAATTGGTGTTTGCTTCCATATTTTCCCCCAAAGCCATCCCTTGTTAGCAGGTAAACATGTAATCTTGTGAATAAAATCCAAATTGAATAAAGTGATAAAAGAAAAATCTATAAAAGTATTTCTGGGGGCACCTCACCTGCTGTTGCCTTGGGCTCCTGGGCCACAGCCCACTGCTGGCAGGTTGTGCTGCCAAGAGCAGAGGAGCCCATGAACTTGTATCTTTGGCTACACAGAGTATATTCCCTACCACACAGCCATGGTATAGCGGGGACACTCCTTTCTCAGGACCACAGCCTCACTTTCTCTTTGTTCCCGCCAGTGCTTATTCACCTGGCAGGATGAATGCCAACAATGACCAGGAGATGGATCACAACATTACATTGTATTTATGAAGAAGATGGGAGTTTGTGGAAATTAAATCCAGTTGCATTTCAGCATAGACTTAGAATGACCATCTCAAAGCCTTCTTAATAGAGATTTCCTGGACAAAAACGTATCCCCAAAACACTTTCAATTGTAACTGTGGATTTTTTTTTTTTTTTTTTTGTACTAAGGGTTCATTGAACTCAAGGCCTTGCTCTTGCTAGGCAGTCACTCTACCACTTGAGCCACTCCACCAGCCCTGACTGCTTTTTTTTAAACAACACCATGTCATCAGCTGTAAAGCAGGGTGTACTAGCAAAGGTCCAGGAAGCAGTGGAAGTTAACCTTGGAACCACTGTGATCTACACATTGTTTGAATGTGCTCAGGACAGTAAAGAACAGCTTATGAAAAATCAACATCCCATTAATTCTACAGCATCCATAAACAATATCATTTCAGTTGGAACCCATAATATAGTCCCATCAAGTAAGAAAAAAGACAAAGAACAACTTTCAAAAGCCTAGAAATGTAAGCTGACACGTAAGACGGATCACAGAGGGGTCTTCCTTGAACTAGGTTGATATCACAAAGCATTTAAGCAAAACTGGCTCTAAAGATAACAAGTAGCACTTGGAATTCAAGACAAGAAAGGAGCGTCCTTTAAAAAATAAACTGAGTTCAATATCCTCTGGTGTTGAGATGACTTTTTATAAAATAGGTTTTTATATGTTTCTTACATAAAAAATGTTGCGAGTGCAAAAGTTTATAAAGATACATGGTTGTATTAGATAATTTTCACAAACTTGCCTTAACAAAAGGTGAATATATTACTTTGTTAAAAAAAAAAAATAAAAGAATTCGTGAACACGTATAGGATAAGAAGCAGAAGCAAACACTTATAAGGCCCTCCTTCTGAATCATTCTCCTCGTAGGAACCTGGGCTTTGCTGTTCCATGATAGATCTCACACCTAGTCTGAACCCAAAACCAATTTAAATAAAGTTCTTCTGCAAGTTAGCATGTTTATTTAACAAACCCCACATCCATCATACTTTGCCATTGAAAATCCAGAGGGCATAGTGCCATGGGACAGGCCTGGCACAGGTGCCATGGTCATCTTCACAGTGCACATTCTTGCAGATGCCTTTCAGCATGTCAGCATAACAGCAACACAAAATTAATTTAAAATGTGTACTAAATTACAGACCCTCCCCTCCCCCTGAGATGTTGCTGCTCATGTATTGCCATGGCCCCAGACTAGGAATTTGTAGAATTAGGACAGCTCATAAAACTCCCCAAGCCTGTAGACTCACTAGAACTATAATCTATAATTCACAAAACCAGAGGTCCAGGGGTGATAGTTTGCTTTCTGAGGTGCTTCTCACATTTTGGTAGGGTTTTACATTGAAAACTGCTCCCCTCATTTCAATTTGCATTTTTGCTTGGCTTTGTTTTGCTGGTCTTACTTCCTTTTGAAAACAGAAAATGGTGATTTGCTTCTTGGCAAATGGAGCGTTCCACAGGTGGTTGTGGTTATGGTCAGGTGTTCTTAGTGTCAGTCCCTTAGCTTATGATTGAGGCTGCTGTGGTCCTAGTAGTTGTCTTCAGCCCATCCAAATTAGAAGCTTTTCACTATGAGCCACAAATATTCTCTGATACTAGCAGGATCATGATAAGCCACAAGTCAGGACTGGCCACCCTATACTTCCTTCCTTCCATAAAACATATGGTCTCCATTTCCAAAATAACACAGCATGCATGGCAAGAACTCTGTTAGCATGAGCCCATCCTGCTTGTTCAGCTACCAGTACTCTTGGCGGCACCTCCAGAGCAGTAAGGAAGAGGATTTCTGCTAGAGTGATGAGGGACCACCCTCCCATTTAGACAGGTGGCCACATATGTGCACCCTGCATTCCTGGGAAGACTTGTTCTCCTTGTGCTGCTTTCCTCCTTGGACCCCCAAGACGCCTGCAGCACACAAGGACTGCTCCTTCCTAGAAGCAGGGAGCCAGAGAGCTGTTTCAGTCACATCCATCACCATCCCTCTCACTACATTCACCTCCCTAAAGTCTGTACTCTGGAAGCCCGGAGAGGATTTTGAGAAAAGTACAGTCCTGACTGTCAGCATTCCACAATTAAAGATCACACCCAGGACAAATAGGAAGATATCAGTATGCTGATACATGCCATTATACTTTGGCTAAACAAGTATTGACAGTGTTGGGAACTATAGAGAAAGAAGTACTGGACTAAATGCAGACTAACTGGTTGTTTGACATTAGGTGAGTTACTCTGGTCCTTATTGTCTTAATTTGCATGTAAGCGTAATTCTACCTACCTTCCTGTAGGAATTTTTAAAAACTAAATGTACAGGCATGTTTGTAAGTATTTAACACATTATTGTTGCTGTTGTTACCCAACCTCTCCACAGTCAGATGTTAAAACTGAGACCCAAAGAACTGAAGCCATTTGCTCCCAGACCCTTAGGACTAGTGTCAGAGTTAAGCCCCCTGATTTTTTAGCTAGACTTTCAAAACTACAGGTGAGGTTTAACTAAGGTACATTGTAACAAGCAACTGACATCCAACATATGGACCTTGAAATCTTTTATTTTTTGTCATTTAATAAGTACTTTTTATAAAACTGTAATGTGACCTTTGTTGTCTTGTGGCGAGTGAAGGTGAACAGTGCTAACATGGGGAAGAAATCACCAGGGTTGGGTTATTACTTCATTTACCATCTGCCTTGCAGATTTTATATTCTGATTCTCTTTTCCACCTTCATATAAACAAAAATCTCAAGGAACCATTAGCTTGCACATATTAGACTACCTCTGAAACTGAATTTGGTGCAAGCATGAAAAGGTGACCCTACTTAATAATTCCTTTTTACAATACTAAGTATGTACTCTATCCATTTGTTCATTAAACAAATGTGCAAGGATTGGTTAATGAGGCCCAGCTCCTTCATTTAGTAGGTTAATACACCTAGAGGAGGCGAAACACGCTGCCATTCATGGCAGATCCTCAGTGGACTAAGCCTCAAAGGCCCAATTAACACCCATTCCAAAGCCACACACACCATTCATCTTCCAGCCTTCTGACAATGTTCTTTCCAAGCCATCACCAAATGTTGGTACAGAACTTCCCAGAATGGTTTTTTGTAATATTTAAAAGAAGAAAAAGCCCTTAAGCCTTCAGTAGTTTGATTTTTTTTTCACATAGTCTCTGTTTGAGAAAGTTAAGTCCACTGGAAATAGATTCACAAAAAGAATAGTATTTTTTAAATAAGTTGTTAATCTTATAAATTCTTATAAAAATGATGACCATTATACATTAATAGCCACTAAGTGATAGTTTAATTGTGGTGGAGGGAATTGCATAATCATAATTAATTTGGAAGAGATAAACAAGGTGTTTGTGGACTTTCAGCCCTCTTCTTAGCTTTACCCCTAGGAGTAACCCCACTGGGCAAACCTTTGATAAGTGTTTTTAAAGGTTTTTAAAGGTACGCTATTTACATAAGAAAAGCTTGAGTACAGTGGTATAGTCATTTTTAAGTTTTTGTCACACTGCATGTATCTTGTGCTGAAATTTTCCCTGGGAAAACTAGACCATTGTGCCAGTTCAAAACTCTCCCTCTCCCTAGCTCATTACCAGCAGTCAGGGAGGTGACATTGTGTGCTCGTTGTCTCCTCTGAATCAAAGAATACCTTTCTTCACTTTGCAAGAGTGAAAATGTTACTGTCACTTACCCAGTCTGGGACATAACTAGCCAAACTTAAGTCACCAAGAGAATAATGACAGGAGTCTGCATGGGGAGTGAATTAAGGACACTCACTTCAGCTAGTCTTCAGGACAGAGAGGACCTCTCCCTCACAGGAGAGGGTGGACAGTTGGATTCCACTTCCAGAAGTGTATGTCCAGTGTCTACTACGGAATTTTAGTATTGGGAAATTCATCTTTTTTCAATAGAACTTAATTTTAACAAGTTATAGTAGGGTTGAGAGTTTTGGCAACACTTTCTCTCATATTCATTATATCAGAATATTTAGGGCAAAAAAATGTTTTAAACAACATTTTCATACTGTCCATTTGTTTTTCATTTCTTCTGGTTTTGATGTGAGGATCCTAAATAATATTAATAGTCAGATTGTGTTAAACATTAGGCATTAATTTGCTTGCTTTTGTAATTCCTGTTATTCCTTATTTTTGCTTATATTACTTTATATTAATAACTCAGAACACTTGACATGATTATGAAGGTATAACTTATTTGTGTAACTTAATTTATATTTGAAATTTTAAAATAGCGTGTTCAACAGTTACCTAGTGGTGGAGTTCAGCCTTTCTCTCTAGGAAATGATGTGTTTTTAGCAATTATGAAAAATACCAGCACCACACCTTATAGAAGTACATTACCAGAGGTGACTACAGGGCAGAGTGCTGCTGACGTGCGTGGTCAGTGTGTGTTTGCCTGTGCTCTCTTCCTGTAGGCAAGGCAGTTTTCCTGGCATGAACCAGAGTGGACTCATGGCTTCCAGTTCTCCCTACAGCCAGCCCATGAACAACAGCTCCAACCTGATGAGCACACAGGTGCCACCCTACAGCATGGCACCCACCATGGTGAACAGCTCTACAGGTAACTGGTGGCTCTGTACTCCAGAGCCCACCTTGTCTTTCTCTCTCCTCCTCTTAGATTTCTACAGCGAGTGTGCCCAAACAGCTTGAGAAGGCAGATATGCTGGTGAAAATAGGGATATTTTTCCACTTCTGGGTAACCTGCTTGATCTACTTGAGACTTGGGAATTCCATTATACTTAATGTAAAGTATCTTATTTACTCTCTGCTTGTACAATATGTGGGTGTATTTCAAGCATCATTAGAGATTGTTTATTAAATGTACACACTAAGTTCTCTTTATCTTTGAGAATTATTAGGCATATTGGAAGATCTCAAAATAAGCACTGTCCAGACTAAAATTCAGAAGACTCATTTCAGAAAATTTAGAAGACTAAATTTAGAAGACTCATTTCAGAAAAAGTGGTTGAAAGGCAGAACAAGGGGTTTGAAAGTCCTGTTTTTCATTAGGGAGACACTTTTAATATGCATGGAAGTAGCCAGTTCCTAAATAGCATTGAGAAGCTGTTCTAAATGTTTTATCATGGTTGGTTCTCTCAATCCACTTTATAATCTCAGCCATTGCATTCTCACAAAATTATATCTGATTGGTCAGATTGAATCTTTTGCCAGTTTGTGGGAAACATCGGGAATTTCTCAAACTATACAGATTTCCATTTATACTCTCAAGGACTTTCAGAACCTTGAGCCACCTCCTCAAGATCCCAAACTGCCCAGATATAGCACATGCTCTCCTACATGAGCAGCTGCCATGTGTTTCTGTTGAATGGAAAAGAGCTTTTTAGTGGGACTCTTACGTTTCAAACTTAGATCGTGGCTTAAGGTTCTGTGTCCTCCAAGGCCTGTGACATGTCAGGAATACATTATACGGTTAGGACCCTGGCTTGCTTGGGTCACCATTTTCCATGTGTACTGCCTTCAGCCACCCACTTTACATCCTGAAAGGCTTCCCCTGCAGTGTAGCAGCTTCTGCTCTGTCAGACAGAACAGACAAAAGAGGCCAAGCTCGCCTCCTGTCTGCACAGCTGAGTTGCAGATTTTAAGGGTCTCAACTTAATAGTGGCATTTCCTGAGTACTCCTCTTTAAAGGTTTGTGGAAGAGAAAAACATAGAAACTATAAATATAGAGGCTTAAATAACTAAAATAGCCCTTCCTGGTGTTCAGCAGGTACTTGCTCCTCCAGGGAGATAAAAATGCACAATTACAACAGTATGTCAGCTAAGAGCCTCCTTTTCCCCACCGGTACTACTGGAGATCTGGGTTGTGATCTGTGTTTTCTCTGGATTCCTGAAATAAGATTACTTCAGAGCATTGAAAGTATACAATAAGTTTCCACCTACTATTAGCAATACTTACATTCCCTTTTTCCTTTGAACCTCAGAGCCACAAAAATGAACAACGACAGAGGCTCACTGCCCTGCCTTAGAAGATGTATGTATTCCTGAGGAATCTCCAGTTTGATTGGGATTCACAGAGATGGTGTCTTTTTATTAATATTACTCAGATAACTCAGCTATTTATTATTTTGAATAGAGGAAATCTGTTCAATGAAAGACAATTTATCCTCACAGTCTTTTGTATGAGACAGGAGTATATTTTTACTGCATTGTGCATTATGAAATACTGAATTTTAATAATGTAATCATTTATCAAATTTTGCTCTATATATTTACGTGGTTTTTATTTCAACTTGGTATAAAGTAATCATTTGCACATCTGAGGAGTATTGGCCACCTAGCATTCATTTGCTGGGTATTTATCAGCAGGTCCAGTAGCTGTGTTAGTCCCTAAGGGGAACAGGAATGACGTAGGATGTCACAGAGCAGCTCTGGGAAGGATTTTGAGGTGGGTCACGAGTGGCTCATTGTCCTATCTGCCTCCTTGGTTTGGGCCCATGGGAATAAATTCCTATAGATAACAACAAAGCATGTCTCGAGGAAAGTACACTTTTGGAGGAAGTGAGAATAATGCAGTGATGGGCAGCGCTGGCATGGAATTGTCTGACATCAGCAGCCAGTGCCACTGGCATTCTAGCATTCACTTCACTGAGTCTACTCGGTCATAGCGTAGGCAGTGTGCAGGGCCAAAAATCCTCCTGTATGGTGACAGATTGCTACAGGCTACAGCAAGCAAGTAATTATTTAAATGGAGTCAGTGTGAGTATGAATGTGACACTGTTTCTCCACATAAAATGCCAGGGAAGTTGGATGATAACCAGTCGGGATTTTTTTCCCTTTGAAAGATCATATTTGGCTCTGTTGTTTTAACTATTTGGGTTAAAAGGTTAGAACTATGTGTTATTCTGGTCAAAGTTACAAGTCATGTATAAACTTGGTAAATACACCCTTACATCAAAACCTGTGTGGGTAGTTGGACTATACTTATTTTTATTCTAACATTCATTAGCCACATACTTGTCTGTATACAAACCATCACCTTCAAGTGGACATCTGAATTCCAAAAAAATACATATCTGCCATCTGTAGTTAAGTTTGCCTCACTAGAAGCCACTTTACAAAACAGAGCACTTCCACCACTGTATCCTGTAGATAGCAAAAGAGCAGCCTGCTGGGTGGAGCCTGCCTCTCACACGGACCCCTGCTCAAATTCTAGTACTGAGTCTTTCTGCTGACTGAGCATTGCTCAATCCTGAATTCAAAGTGCTCTATTAATTGCCTACCTATTCAGGCATATGAGCTCTCATACCACTTTACAAAGAAAAAAGCCAACTTACTACCCACAGTCTTACATGCTACCCAAATGTAAGACCCTACTTCTGGAATGCTTGTTAAAGCTACAGACTCCCAGGCCACCATCACAGTCTCTGAGGGCCAGGAGTCTGCATTCTTCACTAGTCTTCAGGTCATTTCCACAGTGCCTGCCAAAGCTGGAGAGTTGGAGATGGGAGGAATTTCTCAGTCACCTGGCAGAACTGCTGCCAGCTTGGTGTGGTATTAGTACCAGCTGTTGCCCAGATAATTTGCTGTTTTAAAATTTAGAAGATTTACAAAACTGCCTAGAATGTGTAGATTAGCTGTTCTCTTGGGACTTTAGGATCTTCCACACTGGAAGCTTGGGGTCCTTAGCACCCTTGCTGACAGTTGTCTAGTAGTGTGATACAAAAGAGTGTTTGCTTTCAGTTCATGATTTTAGGTGAATTGCTGCTCCCCCCAAAAAAAAAAAAACAAAGAACTTGATAAATTATGACACCTAGACTCTTAAGCTGGGGGACATGCATTCTAAGATGCTGCTGAAAGACATTCAGTGCGCCAGACTGCAGGTGGCCTGGCTTTCTCTATGCGTTGGAAAGCCTTGCTGGTCTCCTGGAGTGGCTGTGCGTGGCAGGGGCACCTCCCCTTCCCCAAGGAGTTCTTGAGTAGGGAAGTTTCAGGGTCTGTCTGAGGGCCTTGCTGTCCAGAGAGAAGGAACTGTGTCCCTCGGTTCATTTCATATCTGCTGTGTGTTTTGCGTTATCCACGTACTTTGTATTTTACCATGTGAGAAAAACCATCATGAACATCTATCAGTGTACACAATTAGATAAACCCTTTGTGCATTTAAAAACAAGCAATTAAATATTTTTGCAGAATATGGGATATTACCATGACAAGGACAGCATGTTTCTGATCCTGTTTTATCATCTGGGAATGACTCTGCTGCCCTGTAGGGGGACCACACTAGGGAAGAGTGGCTGCCTTAGGACCTTGACCCACACTTGCTTTTAAAAAATCACTTGAACTCTTAAATTTCAGTGGTGGGGCCAAAGCCTTGTGCTTGAAGTGTGTTTACAGCACTCAGACCTCACTTATGTTACAGATTCCTGGCCACCCCTTGTTTGAGTGAACTTTCCATGCTGGATTCCTGGTGTCGGTAGAAGAAAGAATAGTAGCACAATTTCACACATCCTTAGAATAGAGGTGGTGTTCCTTTCTGAGAAAAAAGGAAAAAGTACTGCCCTTAGAGTACCATTGCCAGGGAGGTATATGGTTCTCTGCAGTAATTCATTGAAAATTCTGGTAAGAAGCAAAAATAAGCATTTCAACAAAAAAGAATAGTAAAAGCCACAGTAAGGAAAGACCTTGTGATCCACTTAGTAAAATAGAATTTGCATTGTCAGAAAGAGGTACTTAGTAAAACTATGACTCTATATTCTACCCTTATTTACCGCTCAAAGTAAAAGAGCAATGCAATTTTTAACAGTTTTTATATTTACCCAAAATGTCTAGTTTAAAATATATAATAGAGAAGGAAGAAATTTGGGGAACCAAATGTATATTCTTAATCCACAATAAGTCTGATTTTTAAATCAGCATAAATTATCACTAATTATCATACATATTAGCCAAATTCTTTATGCTTAAAAATTGCTTTTATGTACATTAACACAGTTATTGCATAAATGTGGCATTGTAGTTCCTATTATTGGAACCATATTCAGACATAACATATAAGTACTGACAAAACTGTAAACTTTCACTGTTGGGGAAGCAGGACTTACAGAAGCCACATGTCATGATCTTCACACTTTCTCTGAGTTGCACTGACTGTCACTGCTGTGAACCCACTCCGAAAAGGATGTGTGGACTTTCATACACAAGCCCCTCTCTTCACACTTGAGCTGCTTTTTTATCCTTCTATTCTAAAAGGGGTGTTTTTAAGTATACAGGTTTACTAATTCCTATCTTATTAGGCCCCAGAGAGAAAGCTGCACAAAAGCAATCCACTACTTTGAACAAGCTGTCTTGGTGTAATATCTCTCAGCTGCTTTTTTGAGGTTTCACACATTCACAAAAATAACAGCATTTTTAGCTGATCCCAATAGATTTTTCTCTGCAGCTGCATCACTTGAAAAAGCTTTTTGTTCCAGTTCTTAAAGTCTACGTATTGAAAGTAATTTGAAAAAAGGAAATCATCCCAATTATGATTTGTGTGTGTTGTGATGACTTTAAGGGCTGACTGGGCTGCAAATGGGCTCTGAAAGGCCAGCCAATGCCCCCTTGGAAACGCAGGATTTCAGAGCACATTATCAAGTGTGCTACTGCAAACTCATGGGCACGTGGCAGGGTGGGCTTTTTTGGCAGGACCTATGGTCTCAACCTGCAGTGATGCTAACGATATTAACAAATTAGCACCACAGAGCTTGCCAGCTAATTCACCAGAGCCTGCTCATTCTCTCACTGCTGTAATTAAAACTAATTATTTTCTAAAACATAGTAATACATGAATATGTGCAGTAATCATTTTGTAGTGGGCAATCTGTGGAGCCTTTTTTAATGCATTTTTTTCCTTTTTCTTTTTTTCTGGCACATTGTACTCCATGACCCTCGCCTAGTAGGTGCAGCACTTGCCTTTGCTCAGTGTAAAATGGGTCCTGCTCATGAAACTGGGTTTATGTTGTCTTGACAGGAGAATTCTCTGGCTTCCACTCCTTTACGAGCCTTTTCTTCTCCCTCCCCAGCCTCTGCCTCCCTCCACTTTTCATGCACGTGTTTGGTGTCTCCCTCACAGCCCTCCAGCTTGGAGTTCTGCAGAAATTCAGCTATTATTCCCTGGATAACTACATTGACCCCTGCTATTACCTTGTTCTTCCTTTAAAAAGAAATTGAAATCCATATTGTTTACCTGTGTCTATTAGTACCTGCAATAAATGTGTGTAAATAAATTGCTCTCAATGAACCTTTATCTAGTGCCTAGATGGAGCTGATTGCATTTCTGAGCCCAGAGATGGAATGCGTGGATTGGCTCTGAAGCCACTATGGGTGTTTGAATTGGCTCTTGAACTGCTATGGAGGGTTGTTGACCAGGCTAAAGGAACACCAACACCATTGCAAAATAGTTAGGAATTCTCCCCTTCTTCTTATACTAGGATTTGAACTCTTTGCTGGACACTTGCTAGGCAGGTGTTCTACCACTTGAGCTACAAATCCAGTCCCTCCCCCCAGATTTATTTTAAGTCATCTGTATGATTGTATTCCCTTACTGTAGACTAGGCCATGTGTAATGGGTAAGATATTTGAATGAAATACCAGACAGTTTTGCAAACTATAGATTATTTGAACTGAGGAAATTAACGTACTAACCCCTGTACAAGCTAGGTAGAAGAATCCAGACACCCAGCATTTGCTTCCAACACCTGATGGGCAATTCAAATGTTAGAGTTGTTGCCACTTGTTGCCACTGTTTTAAAGCTATAATAATTTTGTAATAAATAAATTGACCTTTCATGGTTTGGGTCTTGAACATACAGGGTGACAGTCTTTTTTTTTTTTTTTTAACAAAAAATGTTCTGAACAGTAATTCTGTTCATATTTCACAAGTCACTATAGTTCAATATAGTTCAAGTTACCATTTCACTTTTCTTTCTTCAGGGGACACTCAAGCGCCCCATGCTTCACATAGTAGTTCACGTGGCATGGGCAGGCGCACAGACTAACAAATCATATGTATAATTCTGACTTTCTCCTGTTTTCGATTAGCATCTATGGGTCTTGCAGATATGATGTCTCCTGGTGAATCCAAACTACCCATGCCTCTCAAAGCAGACGGCAAAGAAGAAGGCACTCCACAGCTCGAGAGCAAGTCAAAGGTATTTCCCCCTGCACGTAATGGGTGCTGCCTGGCCAAAGCTGCTGTTACCTCTTCACTGGTGTTGGCTACACTGTTTTCTCTGTCTCTTCTTGTGCATGCCTTCATTGTGTGCAACATGTCTACAGTCGTCTTTTCTTTCCCCACCCCCTTCATGGTGTGGGTCTGAAAGTTACTAGTTCTTACGGCATTAACTCATGGTTGAGGGTGGGGGGTGGAGGGACAAGACCCACCTGAGAGAAGTGCTTTGGGGTGGGGAGAAGTAAGGGATCTTGCTTGGTTTTGATACTTGCAGCCGTTTTCTCTGCCTTCAGTTTATAGCTTCCTGTTTTGGCCGCCTCAGCAACAACAGCATACTTAATATTTTGCTTTCCTGCCTTATTTGATAAATAAGGTGAACAGCTTTTTTTTTTTCCTTTCTTTCATAAGGGGTAATCCATGCTTAGCATTCCATGTAAGCTTGAAGTAAGCATGGGGGCTTCATGGCCTTATCCGGCATCCAACAAACTTACCAGTCATACTAATTAAGAATGTTGTTTTAATACCTTTATACATGTGTGGTTTTGTGTGTGTGTGAACATGTCTTTGTATATATATGATATATATTATATATCTATATATAATTAGTCTGTCAAACTGGATGTACTTTTTGTTATTTCAAATAAAGTTTGCCCTACCTTTGTCATTTTTTTTTTTTTTATTCCTCTACCACAGGATAGCTACAGCTCTCAGGGTATATCTCAGCCCCCAACCCCAGGCAACCTGCCAGTCCCTTCCCCAATGTCCCCCAGCTCTGCTAGCATCTCCTCCTTTCATGGAGATGAGAGTGATAGCATTAGCAGCCCAGGCTGGCCAAAGACTCCATCAAGCCCTGTAAGTGGCTCTGGTTGTTTGTTTTGGTTTTTGGGGGTTTTTGGATAATTGATTATACTTTAATGCTTGCTTGATGTTTGTTTTATAAGACTCTTCATTATTGATCCATGGAAAGGTTTTCTTTACAAATAATTGCATTAGTAATGAAATAAGTAAAGTTTGCATGCATCCTAGAGGTGGTTTCTGATAATGCCAGCTATTCTGTGACAATTAAGTGCCTCTGCACACAGATGCCCAGGTGCTACTGGACACAGACTCCTCCCAGGGAACTATGTTGGACACACACGGAGGAGTCTCAGATGAGCTGCTTCTCCATCCACAGGGGAGTTAGTAGTAGCCATGGACCGAATGGCACATTGGCCCCTAACTTAAGTTTGTCATGGGCTATTCATCTAAAACAGCTTACTTGAAAACTGCTTGCCTGAAATAAAGGCAGTATGGTTTGGCAACATCAGCCCTATTTCATTTTCAAATCATATGTCTGAAATTAACAACAAGGTTAGAGAAATGCTAGTGTGTGTGAATTTTCAGATTAATAGCATACACCTGCATTGGAGTCAGTTGAGATGGAAAAATGGCATCCAGCACAAGAGTGCTGGTAATCTTGAAATAAGTGTTGGTTTCTATATGGCACGTAAATAACCATGATGGTAATGTGCACATCAAAGGATTCTGTGAGCCTTAATGTCCTTCTGACCAAAGAGTCGGGCCTTTATTTTGCTTGTAAGGTAATCAATTTTGCTCCATAGAAGAGAGTAATGTGCCACAGTAACCTTTATGTTCATATAGGAAATTAAGAGTTGTTTAAAAAAAAAAAAGTCTTAACATGCAATTAGTTGCCAAGAAGGTTTAATTAACATGCTAATTTCTGTAAGCTGATGAGGTGTAGAACACAGCTTAGGAAAAGTAATGGAAAGAAGACCCTGGCTGTGTGGGATCTGGCAATCTAGTCAAACTCTGAAAGGAGGCTGCTGTCGTCACTCACCTGGTTAAATAGATAGAGCCTGCTGGGTTGAAGATTTGGTTGTTGTAGCAGATTGTTTGTCAAATTTACACGGAGCTCTGGTATAACCAGCATTTTCCTTTTCAGAGTAAGGAAGGGTTCTCTGCACTCTCTCCTCCCCTGTACATGTGTTCCAATTTTGCAACATCCAAGATGAGAAGTGAAATGCTTCTAGATGGGCACAGCAAAACCAGGGGAAGGGAGAGTGACTCCTTCATTCTGATATCTGTGCTATTTGCTTTGAGTCTCAGAAGGCAGCCAACGTCACAGAAGGGGTTTCCCCATAACCCACCTTGGTTTTTTATTTTGTTTTGTTTTTCCCTTTTCTATTTATAATAGGAAAAATTATTTTGAGTCAGTTATATTCTTAAGTAAACAGGTAGAATTCAAATAACTTTCCAAAAACCTATGTAAATTGGCTCGGGGGTGGAAGGGATTTCAGAGGTGAAAAATAGTAATCTTTAATACTCAAGATAGTAAATTAAGAATTTGTTAGAAATAAAGATTACTAATAGATCATGTTACATGTTTAAATGCTCATGCTGATCGAGGAATTACAAAGAATGACTAAAATGGTTACTGTATTCTAACTTGCTAGTCAGCAAGTCCTGTAGGAAACACACCACTTTTTAGCCAGCCATAGTGGTACACCTGTAATCACAGCTCTTAGGAAGATGAGGCAGCCTGAAACACATACAGTACCCTGTCAAAAAAAAAAAAAAAAGGAGACAGAAAGAAAGAAAAAAAATTGTATTTTCTGCTTAATGTAAGAGAAAAATGTTAACCCTATTTTCTATAATACAGTTATAATTGAAATTTGCACATTAATTTTTTTTCTAAATATTTCCACATACATAATCTTTTCCTGTATCATAAATTATTTTATGTTTAAGATTTTACAAGCAAACTTTTGGTTCCAGTGCTAGGTAAGGTAAGGACAAGAGAAGCTGTGTTTTCCATGGCAGATAGCTACTTTTTTTTTTTTAATGAAATAGTGGTTTAGGAAGGGCCAAAGAAGAGTGTGATGAAGGACCTCATACTGTCTCTGCTATTAGATCGCTGCAAACATGCAATTCAGGAATATTTCACTGCTTCTTCTGAGATACCACTTCACTTTGTGCTTGAAATTGCTCTTAATAGTGTCCCTAATAATGCCTGTCTACCAGTAGGCCTCAATGGAAAAATAATAAAGCTGCTGTTGCTTTGACAGTATAGTATGGACCAAATGTTTTGTTACAAAACATTCTAAAACAAAAATAAACATTTGTCCATACACATGAACGTATACTTATTACCAAGCATATGGTGAAGACTGCTAAAATGTAACTCCATAAAAGGCTCAAAGAAAATGCACTTGTAGGCTTAATTAAACTGTATACAAGGAAAACATTTGTGGCACCATAAGAATGTCTTGCTGTAAATTTTCAGCAACTTCTCTTCCTTTTCTTGCCTCCCCAACAGTTTTAGAAGAATAGAATACAATTTTTACAACACTGAAGCAATACTAGGTGGTCTTTAGTGACCTGTGAAAGTTACCTGGTCTTCCTGAAGGGCTGGTTCTCTTTCCCACTATCAGTAGGTGGAATGTGTCATAAAGACCTGTGTCCAGAGGGTCTCTCCTGGTTGATGTCTAGAAATGAGGAAGAGATGTGTGGGCCTTAAGTTTCTTTTGTGTCTTTTCCTTTGTTCAGACACCCACATCCTGACTCTAATATAATTTGACTGGTGAGCAAACCTTGAGCCCAGGAATGGAGACATTCCTGTGGCAAGCACGTTCCTTTCTCAGCCCAATCTTATTGATTGATCCATTTCACTAAGCACCTTGCTCATTGAAGTCACACAAAGAGGATATTTGAATCACATGTTAATTCTTATTTGAACGTTGGTAGACTTCTCACACCTCTTTGGTCCATGTGAGCATTTGCAGAACAAATACCTGTCAAAGACCATCAACGTACACTGTGATGTGTTGTTGATTTAGAATCAAGACAAGCTTAAATTCTAGTTGGAAGAGTGGATGTCAGGCAAGTGATCATGTGCAAGACACAGTATGTGATGGTGGATTAAAACAGAGACCTGATTTAGATTATCAAACAGGCTTCCTGAAGGATTACCACAGAGTAAGGCGTAACTACTTCAGTTACATGAAAAAGCATTTTGCGGCTAGAAGATGCCATAGAAGGCTTTTTTTTGGGTGGGGGGGTGCTGGAGGCATGGCTCAGTGGTAGAGCGCCTGCCTAGCAAGCTTGGAGCTCTTGAGTTCAAACCCCAGTTCTGCCCCCTCCTTCCCTCCCCCCTCCCCACCCAAAAAAAAGCCTTGGGGAAGTTCTATTAAAATGAAACTATTAAAGAGTTCGTTGAATATTTCTAATTTTAGGAGAACAAATTGAATTAGTGCAAGTTAAGGTAAGGTGACAAAAGTTAAAATATATGTTGGCAAACTAGGTAAAACATTTTTTAGGTCTGTTTCAAGTTGTGAGAACCCTCACCTTTCAAAAGCAGGAGCAAACATTTCTGTGAACTGGTGCTCCTCTTGTCCCAATCCATTCCCCAGTTCAGTTTAGAGTAGACCAAACCAGAAATGGCAGGTGGAACTATTCAGACTAATTTTGAGTTTAAATGATTGTTTTTATTTCTGTTATCCTTAAATTGAATCTTAAACTTTACTTCTCAGTTTTTCACAAGTGAAATGAAGAAAGAAAATAATTTAACTGATTATAGGAGATACTGTTTTTTTTCTTCATGTTCTTACATTTCAAATTTTCATATTTGAAAAACCCTGGATTCATTTTTAAGTGTGCCTCTCCAAAAGAAAAAAATGGGTGCCACTATTTAGAAACCACCTGCCTATATCCTGTTAGTGATGGCCAGGCTTCTCTGCAGTATTTCCAGCATGAAAATTCAGTGTAGACTGAGGGCAGTTTCTTTTCCTAGTCAAATAATCTTTGAATGTGGAAAATTAATTTTTAAAATTTATCATTTGTGTATAATGGTCCCACAATCAGGGTATTATATGGGCGTATGGACAGATATGTATGAATACATATACATAAGTTTTTAACTAAAGTAATTTCTAAGTGACTTGAAGTTTAACCTCAACACTGAAGTCAGCTCTAAATGAACATACTTTTTTATTCTACCATTCTTCATTTTTTTTAATCTATATCAATGGTAGCACCCATTTTTATGTACTTTATATAAAAATTTTATGCCTCAGTAATTCTAAAGCTTAAAATTTGAGCCAAAATTTCTTTGGGGAATGACATGTTAGCAGGAAAGCTGCCATTTTATAAGCTCTGAGAGTTGCATCCTCAGGCTTCCTTTCTCAAGGTATGACTTTTACTGGCAGTGACTTTGAGAAGCTGGGTAATATCTGACCTCAAAGGCAGTTATGCTATTGAGCCCCTAGATTTTTGCAGTATGTTTTAGATTATTACAATAAAGAAATAGAAAAGAGGACAGCTTAGCAAGAGCACCATCTAAAATAATGGCCCTAGGTTGCCAGTGTCACCCAGTAAATATGCATGAATAAGTGAAATAAATTCTTGTTCCAAGGAAGTATTTGTTGAGAATTTAGCAGTGATTTATCAATAAACCTGGCATTGCAAATATTACAAATATACAAATATTGTTTCAAAGATAGAAATATAAAAGTCGGGAAAGAAATATAGGTGGGCTATGCAGAGCTGAAAGTGTCACCTATCCAGATCACATAACCCAGAGGGTGGCTCTGGATGACATTTTAGTGTCAGGTACAATCAGATACATAAAAGACTGAGGATTAGAGCATCAAGATGAGCTGCCTGGGCACAGCAAACATGTATACATAAAAAGAAATCTCTATGTTTTTCCATACATGTGCTACATCTATGGCCAAGCATGGATTCTAAAGTAGTGGATTTAGAAATTAAGGAAACAATGATCTCATAGCCCTCAAGTGACGCAGGAAATCATAACTAGGGAAGTCGCTCTTCTTATAGCATATAGCTCTTAAGCTCAGAGCCTCACTGCAGTTGCGGTGGTTTTCAGCGAACACCATACATGTGATTTAGGAGCGCTGTATCAGCCTGCATGTGATTTAGAGTTTTCACGACACACATTAGTCATTCTTGTTTTGGTAAGGGAAAGTAGGAGTGTGTTTAGTTTTGGGGGCTCTGTGATTCCACACGTGAAATGTTTAATTCACTGTGGTCATTCTCTAAGCTCCCACCCTTTTATTTTTAAAAATGACATGAGACTTCATTGAAATCTTGCCTTCTGGGATTCAACGCTTATATTAAAGTTAAAAACAGCTTTTGTTTATCTTGGCTTGTTTTTTTTTTTAAGTGTTTAAAAGTGCAGGGTGGGGAGGAGGGCTTTTATTTGAAGTCAAAGTAAATTCTTAATAAGAAAATGTATAGTTTGTGCCTGAACTAGTAGCCTTCATTCCTAATTGTTGTGTGATAGAGTAGATTTTTAATCTCGTCTTATATTTATTGCCTTATTACTTTTTCTCTCACCTTCTTCCCTTTCCCTCTACCACTGCCCTCTCCCTCCCCCAATGCCTGTTATTACACGCTCCTTCTGGCACTAGAAGTCCAGCTCGTCCACCACTACTGGGGAGAAGATCACAAAGGTGTATGAGCTGGGGAACGAGCCAGAGAGGAAGCTGTGGGTTGATCGATACTTGACTTTTATGGAAGAGAGGGGATCCCCTGTCTCTAGTCTGCCTGCAGTGGGCAAGAAGCCGCTGGACCTGTTCCGACTGTATGTCTGCGTCAAGGAGATTGGAGGTTTGGCCCAGGTAAGAATGAGTGGAGTGAATAAGGAGGCATTATGGACAGGGCCTTGGAGCAGCTGTCTTTGAATATCCGGATCCGGCTTTTTTCTCACAAAGGAAGAACTAAGCCTGTAGGAAAGTTGCCTTCTTGGGTACCATCAACTCCAGTAGGTCATTTACTCAGACTTCAGTTTCCTCATCTGTGAGACCAGATATTTATACTGGATCTTTCTTTAGATTCCCTGGCAGCTGTAGAATCTGGAGTCTGCCACAGATTCAAAGAGTATTTACTAATGACTAAATTATCTGGGCCAGATAACAAATCAAATTCACTGTTTCCTTTTATGCAGAGCAATTTATCAAAGGAATAAAGTCATGCTGGTAAAGCCCGCCCTCAGGTAGAAGGGCCAGGTCAGTGGTTGTCGGCAGTGCTGAGTCCAGAATAGGCAGGAAAGGTGCCTAGGACCCAGAATTCAAGGCAGTGCTCATTTTCCGGGTTGTGCAAGTGTCTGCCGATACTTGCTGACTTCCAGAGGGAGTGTCTGCTAAATTTTGTGCCCTAGCCATGCTCACCCCAGTCACCATCATATTTTTAGTAAGGAGTCTAGTTGGAGTGGACATGTCATAGAAACAGGTAAGGGTACTAACATGTGAGTTAATATTTCACTGTCATCTTTATCTTTCTGTATACCCACAAGGGCCAGGTCACTGTCCCCAAAGAATTGGTAAGGAGTAGGCCCAGGCTACACTCTCAAAGTAGGTAGTGGACAAGTTCTGTCTGATTCCAAATGTTCTTCTTCCATCTCCCAGTTGTGCTCATCCCTTGGAGAGCTTTTAAAAGCTGTCCGTCTGGGTCTCCAGTGGTCTGAAAAGCAGTCAAAATGAGGCACCCTGCACCCCATTGGTCCCTATCTAAGAGTCCAGTGCTGCCACTTCGGGAGATATAGGAGGAGCCTTTGTTCTTGGTCTTCCTCTGAATGTCTGACCTTCCCACGGGGGAACTGAGGCCTGTGGCTGAAATCATTACAATTTCAAGGCTCTGTGTAACCAAATGTGAAATTTTGTGCTGCAGACCACATGTGAGAGATGGTTGGCACAGAATGATCCAGACACATCTCTCTTTCCTGCACTGGACCCCCCCACCGCCCCGACTTCCCTCCTTGACTCCCCTCACCTTTCTCCTCTGCACTTGGGCTTCACTCAGTCCCTGGACTCCCTGTACCTAGACTCTTCTGACAGACTTCAGAATCCCAATCTCAAAAACCAGAGTAGTGGAGCTCTTATCTGGCTACTTGCTTGTATTGGCCTGTCTCAGTAGTGTGTGTGACCAAGTTAGATCTGCAGAGAAGAGTCTGCTGACTTAGCCAATGTAGCTGGGGATGCATGAGCAGCAGTGTCATACCCAGCCATCCGCCCAAACCAGTGGGCATGAGATGTGCATGGGGGCAGGTGCTGTACCAACACCCAGATCAGCTCAAAGCCTGGTGTCTCGAGTTCAATAACCCTATTGACCATTTCTGAAGCAGCCTGCAGGCCTATTATGTGTGGCCTCATATTAAGTGTCCAAAGAGATATTTGTGTATTGCACACTATTTAGTACTAAGTAAATGGAGAACCTTCTGAGAAAGTTTCTGAATCCATAAATTCAATATTTTCCTGAAAAATTACTGTTGTTAATCCTTACTATGCTACCCAACACAGCAGACATCAAAAGGCACGAGCTTCTCTGAGTTATTTGTAAGCCTTTCATTCATGAGTTTAATCTTTCAAAACCTGTTCCCAAGTAGGAATGAGAAGGCTGAAATAATGCCCCATTGCAGGATCCCTCTCCTTTTCTCCTCCTTTGACAATAAAAATGTTTTAGAGACTTTTCTGGTGGCCATTGAACCAGGGAGGCTACTTGATGCATGGTGGTGGTCGGTCTGCTTTGGACTGTAGGGGTGCTGCTGCTCACTGCCCACTGGCCAATCCCTGTAGGACTCAGATTCTCCTCCCCGCTCCCCTCCTCTCCCCTCCTCTCCTCTCCTCTCCCATCCTGCAATGGTAGTGTCTCCAGCTTAATGGAGGTACAAAGTCCTACACAGCACACACAAAACTGTGCCCTAGCTGCTGAGCTAGCTAGTAGCAAAACAGCCCAGCAAAGGAGGGGTGGCATTGGCTAGACTCTTAAATTTGGGGACAGCTGATAAAGGGGTCTTGCCTGTGTTTACACCAGGTGCCACCTCTGCCTTTGTAACAAGAAGCCTCCAGTGAGAGGATAATGGAAGGACAATGCAGTCAGAGTTATGGGCTCACTCTGGGAGCTGGGAGCTTTTGGAGGGGATATTGTTTTTCATATCAGTGCTCAGACACTTAAGCTGCAAAGCAATGTTGCCATTAAATTCATTTTTGACGCCCTTTCTTCCAAACTAGAGGTTGAGGGGCTACAAGCAGGAATGTCCATTCTAGTGCTGAAGGAACCACACCCTGTAAGATTCTGTGCGAGGCACTAAGTGGTGCAGCCAGCAGAAGACCCTAGCAAGCAGGCTTTATGTAGTGATCAGCAGGTTTCTTAATGGTTTTATAACTGTAAATGTTGTTTGTTCACTACCAAGTGGGTGTAATGAGCATTAGTTAAAAGAGGCAAATGAAAAAATAAATAAATAAACCAAGACATTAAGTGCTTTTTGTCTCCTGGCTTTAAACAAACCATTTTGCTGCAAACCAATAATCTGCTGGGGTTTTTTGTTTTGTTTTGTTTGGTTGGTTGGTTTGGTTTGTTTTTTGCTAGGTCAATAAAAACAAGAAGTGGCGTGAGCTGGCAACCAACCTAAATGTTGGCACTTCAAGCAGCGCAGCAAGCTCCCTGAAAAAGCAGTATATTCAGTACCTGTTTGCCTTTGAGTGCAAGATCGAACGAGGGGAGGAGCCCCCGCCGGAAGTCTTCAGCACTGGGGACACGAAGAAGCAACCCAAGCTCCAGCCGCCATCTCCTGGTAAGTGACAGCTCTACAGCTGGGTCTTAAAAGCCCAGGCCAGCACATGGCAGAACTGGAGGATGCACAGCTGAGCAGGGAAGTCCAGAAGTAAAGCTAAGGGAGAACTGGGATCTTGGAAAGGAAGCAGTCTCACTTTGTTATAATTAATTAATTAACTAATTAATTAACAGTGTAATTGGACCCTGTTGGCAGGGGTGTAGGGAAGAGAGAATAAAACTTGGGATGTTGCTGTTTGCAGTTAGCACTTTGAAGACATTCTTTGGCTTTATCTTATGTAGTCAAAATAGACTTAGGAAGTCTGAGCTACATACCTTTGTTTCTTTATTATTTAAAACTATTCTGTCTTGTTGTGTACAAAATTAATACTCACGTTAACCTGTTCCAGTATTTTGCACCTTGCACAGTACCACTCTTGGGTACAACAGCCAGTTTGTCAAGCTCTTCTGTCATGGTTTATACCATGACATGAAATGTTAGCTTTGTTTTTGGTGTCACCTGCCCAGCAAGTTCTCAACTTCAGTGAATCCCACCAGCTACTATGGTGAAGGCCCATAGAACCCTGTTTCTGGAGGGGTATGTGCCCATCAGCTTTGGCAGAGGCTGGAAGTGAGGACTAGGTACACAGGCAGTTCCTCCACACTCACAGGCAAGCCAGGTGCATGATGCCTTCATCTCTCCCGCCCTCCACCTGCTATTGGGGACCTGCTGTTCTTCACAGCTCTCCTTCTGGTCTTTGCTTCTCCCTTGAGGGTTTTACATTTCAAATTACTAAATCATATATTTTGATAAACACGGTGTTAGAGGTGGGAAGAAATGAGCATTATCCTTAGTTCTGCATGGTGGCTTTACTCAGATGTAAATCCTACCATCTCCTGTCTGTTTCTGGCCAGTGGTCATGACAAAGGCTGCTTCAAGCTCATGACCTTGAGCACTCGGCTGAACTGCTCCCAGTCCCTGTGTAAGGTGGGAATCGTATGCTTCACTTGGGTCACTTGGCCTATCCCTGGGCTAGCTAGCAGCCCATGTGTCCTGAGGGCACACAACGTGCTTATCATTTTATTTCCACATCAGCTGTGGATATTGATGGTATTTAAATGTCCCTGAGAAAACAAAGGCAGGTAGAATCTAAGGACCATGCTAAAGCCATGCAATGGGGGTGCAGTAGGCCCAGTTGGGGACTTTTGGCTCTAGGTCATTTGCTGAACTCACCAGAGCCTCAGCTTATATGAAAATGCCTTTGCACCAAGTCAAGGGAATTCCTTTCCCTTTTAATAATTTCCTCTGGCTCCTGTCCAGATGGCAAAGTTGCTGTCTGGGGTTGCCAGTCAAGGAATCTCACATGAATGCTTTAGGCCCACAGTATACTCAGAGTGACTATCCCTAGATTTAGATCTGTCGTTTCCAAGTACAAAGATAAACCTCCTCTCTAACCACACCCTTAGAGATCTCAAAGCTTCACTCTTCAGCATGCTTCTGAAAACTAGGAATCTAATTTTAAAAATCACACAGCATTATATTCAGTTCACAGAGTCAAAGAAGCTGCCTATGAGTGGCTCTGAAACTATTTTTCCAAAATAAAAACCCAGTGGGGTGTAGGGACCAAAGTGGTGATGTCTACAAAGATCTAAGGGTGTATTTTATTTGCCAGGAAAGAATTTGTGTTCCTGCATGGTCTGCACTTGTGCTGGAGAGTAGCTCTCCCAGCATGCCTCAGCCTCAGTGCAGGAAACCCCACAGAGGTGCACATCCTCCAGAAAGTGGAGGCCTGTTCTTCAAACAGCTAGTGCCCTCCTTTCCCCTTTTGTAAACTGCTACATTTGTGGTGCATTATCATTTTAACTGCACAAAAGGAGATTGGGATGCACGGAGCCAAGGTCCTTCAGTGACACAGGAGGTAGTGGAGTCAAAACTTCCTGGTCTTGACCAGGAAGTCAAAGCTTCTCTGGGTCTTGACCCAGAGATCATCCTGCAGATTATTGTGGATGCCAAAGAGCCTGGCCAGAGAGTAGTGAGCAGCAGTGTCCCTGTAGTTCAGAGCTACATCTGTCACTGCCATGCATGCATCAGGTGGCCTCTCTAGTTCCAGGACCATCATTAAGGAAAGTATCTCTAAAACTTTTTTTGTAGGACTGGGAGTTGAACTCAGGGCCTTGTGCCTACTAGGCAGGAGCACTACCACCAGTCCTTTTGGTGGTGTTTTTGTTTTGTTTTGTGTTGTTTCAATATTGGATTTGAACTCAGGACCTCACACTTGCTAGTAAGGCACTCAACCACTTGAGCCACCCCACCAGCCCTGTGTTGTTTATTTTTGAGATGGAATCTCAAAATATGCCTGACATTTGTGCTTTCCTGCACAAGTTAGGTGAGGTCCATTGGTTGAAGCCCAAGAACTTTTTGCCCAGCTGGCCTTGAACCACTGTCTTCCCAGTCTGCCTCCCAAATAGCTAGGATTATAGGCTTGAGTCACTGCATCCTGTCTCTGAAACATTTTTATTGTCAAGAAGGAAAATAAGATTATTCCTATTTTCCAGGTCAAGGTCTCATTTATGACATAATTTTTAAGACCAATTTTCAGCAAAAATTGTGTTCTTTGAAGTCATTTTCCCCCTAAGAACATAATTATAGTTTATTTCTTACCAGCATATCCATGCAAATGAAAAGATTTCTAAAAAACATTCTAGATATTCTCCCCAATGATCACTGAATCACTTCGCTGTATTCTAAGATGTTATAAGTCATGGATCTCTAGTCCAGTTTTGATTTGTATCCTATGGATCTAGACTTGGATGCAGATAGGAGCCAGAGATACGGCCCCATTTTCCTACAGGACTGTGTCCCACAAGCGCACTGAGCATCCAGGTACGCCCATGAACTTGGGCAGAACCTGGGGGTGGCCTGCATCTTTAGGGTGCTAGTGAGATCGCCTGTCACACTGATCGTATACAAGTTGGTGGTTGAGTTCCAATCAATAGCAGGAGGAGTCGCCAACCTAGTAGGTGGTTCTGGCTGGCTGGGGGAAGGAGGAGCTGAGGGATCAGTAAGATGGGGTAAGGAAGCTACATATTCAATTAGTATGTCTGTAACTGGAAACTCATCCATCTTTGCTGGCAGGTGGCTGACTGAATTTCTATTATTAGCTGACAGGTGATGTCACAAAACCTGTCACCAATCCAACTAGGGAATCCTCAGTGGAAGACAAATGAGAAAGGGGCTTGGATGTAAACAAAAGTGCCCTCTGGTTGACCTCTAGTCACTAGACCTGGGACACATCAGCTCTCCCCACCCTATTCCCCACACCCCCTCCCGCCAGAACTAGGGCACCAGGTTCACACTGTAAATTATCTTCCCAGCCAGGAGCCTGACTGTTCCATCTGAAATGTGTGAATGTACTTAACCTCCAGTAACCTTTCCATTGTTTACTTTAGAGTATACATTTGTAGCTTCTGGCAAAAGGTAGGGATATCCTAGAGAGCATGCCAGCCTCCTCTATTAATGGAGCTGCAAGAGGTTGCATTCATTTTTTTGTTCCTGAAAGGAGAGGAAAAACATTGGCAAGGGAGAAGAATTTTTCCATTTTTTTATTAGCTGTAAATGTGAATACTTTGTAAATAAGGGTCATTCAGAAATCATAGCGTTGAAAGCTATGCTTCCAGGGAAGCTGTCCTGGCTGGTGTGGAGTCTGTGCCTGATGTAGGGAGCAAGTCATTTCTCTTCTGCAGCACTGGGTGGTCACATCTGCAAGACTGTCCTTATATATTTATAAAAGGCTACCTTATTCTTTTGTCACAGTATGCCTTTTTAATACACATTTCCAGGGTTTCACCAAATTTGGATTTGTAAGCAGGCATTAATGTTTTCCTTCTAACATACCCTGCATGTCTGAGGACTTCCCTGAGTCCAGGTGCACCACAGGGTGGACATCACACAGACGCACAAACTAAGTCAGTTAGGCCAGAGGCTGGGCAGCCCTGATCTGGCGGAAATGTCTGCGTCTGGCTGAGGCTTTACAAATAGAAGTGATAACACTCATTTCCATTTCTGACTCCTCCCTGGTTTTAATTATATCTGATCTCATAGCTCAGGAAATGAAGGCATAATTGATAGAACATAGACATCCAGGTGTTGAGAAGGTATTAAAATAACTAAGTTTCATTATTAATTTGTATTATTGCTTTTCAAGTTAAATATTTCTCATTGCCTATGACCTAGAACTAAGTTCTCTAAATTTTTTCTAAATTAGCATAATAAGTCTATCAAATGGGTATACCAAATTTTCATTTTTGTGTACATTTAAAATATTTCCAGTATAAATAATACTGAAACAAACATTTTCTGTGTAAAATCTTGTTAGATTATTCTTTGGGACAAATACTTTAGAAAGCAGTTACCAGATTAAATAAATTTTATGGTTCACAAATGAAGTACATTTCCAAATTCAGAAAACTTTACTAAGGATTAAATGTGTAGCTCAATGGTAGAGCACTTGCCTAGCATGCACAGGGTTCTGAGTTCTGTCCCAATACACACACACACATATACACACACACACACTTAATAATTTTTACCATAGACAGTGTAAGAGCAACTAATTTTACTCCATCGTTATCAACAGTGGATATTATTAGTATTTCTAATAGGTGTGTCTGATTTTAAATTATTTTATATACATTGCTATCAAGAGTGACCTCACTTGATAACCTCTAGTTTCTTCCCCCATTTCCTCTTGACCACTGCCAGCTAACTCAGGATCCTTGCAAGGTCCACAGACCCCCCAGTCAACTGGCAGCAATTCCATGGCAGAAGTTCCAGGTGACCTGAAGCCACCTACCCCAGCCTCCACTCCTCATGGACAGATGACTCCGATGCAAGGTGGAAGGTATGTTCCCAGGACTCTGTGAGACGTACAGAATCAGATTTGCTTTATCTTTTGATTTTTATGGAACTGACTTAGAAAGAAGAAATGGTATACACTAATGCATTTTTTAACCTTTATCACTACTAGTTTTATTTGTGTACTTTTGGACAGTTTTGCATTTATAAATTTCAGAATTTGCTTATTTTTTTAATAGTGTTTACAGGTGGCTTCTGCTGTTATCATTAAACTTTCATTTTTTTTCATCTCTTTAGAAGCAGTACAATCAGTGTGCATGACCCATTCTCAGACGTGAGTGATTCATCTTTCCCAAAACGGAACTCCATGACTCCAAACACCCCATACCAGCAGGGCATGGGCATGCCAGACATGATGGGCAGGATGCCCTATGAACCCAACAAGGACCCCTTTGGTGGAATGAGAAAAGGTACATGCAGAGAGGCCTCTGCTCAGGCATGATCCAGAAGGATTTCTTCTCCCTGCTGTTCCACAACCAGTACACCTGTTGATTCAGAATAGTTTCGAGTGCCTGCTGCCTAGTAGTATGCACCTTCTTAGCCTACCAGATTTGTGGTCTTGGAAAAAGTATCTCACATGGCCATGTCTTACTTTTCTCATGTAGAAATGGGCAAAATAGTGGGACCTGCTTCACAGGGCATTGTGAGGATTGAGTCCCTGCACGTAAAGCCTATAGAAGACTCATTGACACCTAGGATAAGTAAGCACATGCATTATTGATAGTATTGTGATGTTAGCATGAGCCAGCACACCATTAGGTGCTAGATATTAGCAAATCAGACATAGTCTCTGCCCTCAAGGAGTTAACAGATCCTGGGATGAAAAAATAATAATTTAAGCCACAAATGTAGTAATAAAGATCATGGTTTGTAGAAGAAACCAAATGAAAAGGAAAGGATAGAAATAGTAGTGATATTAGTTAGGGGCAGTGGGAGGAAGGGAAGTCAGATAGTCAGAAGGGAAGGGAGGAAAGGAGGAAGAGAGCCACAGCAGGAGGGAGCTGGATCTGTTGAAGGAGGCAGCAGGTGCCTGGAAACAGTGAACATGGGACACACAGACTGAAAGCATCTGCTGCCAGGGGCCAGGACCTTCTGCTGTGTAGCAGATTGAGATTGGGGTTTTTGCTAGCTGAGAGATGTTATTCAGGGAAATGACATGACTTGAATTTTTTGTAAAAATAAACATAAATACCAGCCATCTGTGGGGCATGTGTTGAAAGAAGTGAGAGTAGACCTGGAGAGACTGTCATGATAATCCAGAGAGAGAAAACAGGTTGGAGTTGGAGAGCAACAGTGGGAGAGAGAATCACCGCTACATGTTTTAGAGGTGCTGATGAATTGAACATTGAGGCTACAGAGCTACATGATAGTGACTGAGAGGAAAGATGTGACTAGCTACAACATGGCCAATTGGGAAAGGGAAAAGGACAGGAAGGGGAATCCAAAGCTGCTTGTGCTATGTTGAGGTGGTGCACAATGGACTACCTATCTGGAGCTGGGCCAGGGTTGGAATTAGGTGTGACCACATCTGCAGCTGGAGAATGGATAAGCTTGGTGACAGAAGAAGTATTCGTAGGAGAGCATCTGTGGATGGTAGGAAACCCAGGGTGGTTCTTCCTTTTTGCTGAACCCCAAGATTGAATTCACCTTGAGAGTGTGCATATCAATACCAGTTCCACATGGAAACCTCATAATTTGTTTTTGGTTTTTTTTGGTATTCTTCCAAATGTAGCTGGGGCCTGTGAAATTGAGGCATAATGTGAATGTTATTTTTTAAAATATGGAAAAAACTTGTAAATATTTTTATGGAAATAGTTATTGTGGGATCCCTTAAATAATGGTACCTGTGTTGTATTTAGATGTTGGGGCACATGAATTTCTTGATATATTGTCCAAGTGGAGAGAAGCATAAAGTCAAAGTCTTGGTTTTCACAAGCATTGTGCACTAATAAAAAATAAAAATGAAGAATGTCAAAGTTTTTAATCGTGGACATATATTGTTAAGTAAACAGGATTCATAATATTTTGGATAACTTACATAAAGCAAGATAATCTGATTTTTCATTTCAAGAGTTTCTGGTTGCTTATTCCAAGGAACATTTTGTGGAACATGCAATTAATCTGTAAGCTCAGAAACTCAAATCTTTGTGAATGTTAGAAGCAGCTACTTTTCTTAGGGGTATAAAATGCTAAATAGAACATTTTGTTAGTACCTTTGGTGTCTATATCCCATTCTTAGACTCTGAAAACATAGCAATGTGAGAAAAGTAATTACAGTAGACCCTTGATATCTGCAGGTTTGTGGTTCCAAGGGGACTGCCCTTGAGGAAGAACAGCATGTAATATATCCGTGAGTAAGGCGGACTGACTATAGTAGTATTTGCAATCTGGCCTCAGTGTATTGTGAATCATCTCAATATCCTCCCTGTGTGCTATATTAGATGGCTACAATTGTATTTCTCTTGTTTCCTCACACCTGTAATTTCTCTTACAAAATGAATACGATTTTAGTAGTGATTGTGGGGTTACATTGCTAGGTACTGGGTAGAATGTGATGTGTCTTCACACCTATGTAACTTACCTGGTGACTAGTACAATCCCTAGTATATTTCATCTCACCTCCGCTTTACAATATCAACATACTCAGTACCAACTTAAAAGAGAGAAACAGAAAGTCCTCGGAACTTCAGTTGGGAAGTGTCTTTTAGACCGGTGTCAGTGGAAAGCGGGTCCTCTGTTGCAGCAGTGGCAGCTGCCGGTGTCACTGTTGCTAACCTAGAGCACAGCACTGCAGTGAGTCAGAGAGCTGGGCTTCCATTCCACATCCTGCAGAGCCGGCCCTGCCTGTTCGCCTGCCTGCCTCCCACCTGCTCATTTCCTTCGCTCACTGAGGCACTGGTGGATTGCATATAAGGAGACATGATATCTAAGTCTTCTTTGCTAAACAATATATTTTGAGTATCTATTAAAATCTGTACATGTAGCTGTACTCTTTAATTAAGTAAGTACACACAATGGTGTAGTGCTGAACGAGTTGCTCCCTCATACTCTGCTGTTATAAACAGGCGCAGTGATTAGTACTAGGGATGTTGAACATTTCTTCGTGTATTCATCGCACATTTGTACTTATTCTTTTGAGAACTGTCTGTTCATTTATTTGCCCAAACATTAATTGAATTGTCTGTTCTTTAGTGTTTAATTTTTGGAGCTTTTTATATATTCTGGATTAATTCTTTATCCAGTGAATTGCTGACAAACATTTTCTCCCGTACTTTATGTTGTCTCCTGATTCTGTAATTCTTTCCTTTGCTGTGCAAAAGCTTTTTAATTTGATACAATCCTATATGTCAGTTCAGAGTTCTTCCCTATGTTTTCCTCTAGTAGTTTCAGAGTTTCAGGCCTTACATTTAGATCTTTGATCCATTTTGAATTAATTTTTATAAAGGGTGAGAGATAGGGGGAATAGCATCAGTCTTCTACTAAACACTGATATGTGAATATCCAGTTTTCCCAGCACCATTTGTTGAAGCTGTCTTTTCTCCAATATATGTTTCTGACATTTTTGTTGAAAATCAGATGACTATACCTGTGTGCTGTTACTACTGCATCTTCTGTTCTGTTGGTCTAGGTGTCTGGTTTTGTGCCAATACCATTCTGTTTTTGTTACTATGATTCTGTAGTATAATTTAAAGTTGGGTATTATGATACCTCCAGCATTGCTCTTTTTGCTCAGGATTGCTTTGGAATCTTTTTTAAATTTTAAGATTGATTTTTCTGTTTCCATAGAGTGACATTGGAATTTTTGTGGCGATTGCATTGAACCTGTAGATTGCATTCAGTAGTACCACCATTTTCACAGTACTAGTTGTGCCCTATCCATAATCATGGGAGGTCTTCCCAACTTCTAGTATCTTCTTCAGTTTCTTTCCTCAAGATTTTATAGTTTTCATTGTAGCAGTCGTTCACCTCCTTTGTCAGGTTTATTCCTGGGTGTTTAATTTTTTTTTTTTTTTTGGAGGCTATTGAGAATGGGATGGTTTTCTGATTTCTTTCTCAGCCCATTTGTTTTTGGTGTATAGAAAATCTGGGTTTGTGTGTTAATTTTGTATCTTACTACTTTGTTGAAAGTGTTTGTTAGATCTAAGAGTTTTTTGGGAGTCTTACACTTTTAAATATAAGGTGATACTAGCTGCAAACAGGGATGATTTGAAATACTCCTTTCCTATTTGTATCCCTTGTATTTCTTTCTCTTGCCTAGTGCTCTGGTTAAGAATTCAAGCACTATATTGAATAAGAATGGACACCTTTGTCTCTTTCCTAACTAGTAATTATTGTAGTAAACTGTTCTTTCATACTTGTGGCAGTGTTTTTGTGAAATGGATTCCTAGAAGTCAGATTGCTCCTTTACCAGGTATCTCAGTCATTTTTATGGTGTTACAAGTTACCCCAAAATTTAGTGACCTTACACAGCAACACTTAGCTATGTCTCACGACTGTGTCATAAACTGGGTAGTTCTTCACTCTGCATGTCATCTGGGATGTTGAGGTGGCTACTAGCACCTAACAACTGGATTGGCAGTCCTGCTGGAACTGGAGTGTCTCTAGAATGGCCAGTGTCATCAGAGCATCTATTGGAAATGGGACTGGAGCTTTTGGCTGGAACCTCCTACATGAGTAGCTCCCAGGTGTCCATGACATGGCAGATGTAGTTTAAGAAGAAAGAGGGGGGGTGAATTCGATCAAAGTTTATTATATGCATGTATGGAAATATCATCACAATGAAACCCTTTTGTACAATTGATGTATCCTATGTAAAAGAAGCAGCTTCCAAGATGACAAGCCCCAGTTGCAAGCTCATACAAGTATTTGCTTGCAGTTATTTGCCAGAGACCCATTGGTCAATGATAGTCACATGACCCAGCCCAAAGTCATTGTGGAAGGGGACTTCAGAGGCTGTGAATACCTGGAGGTGTGCTTCTTATGTTGCCAAAAGATAACCTCGCATCGCAAGTACTGCCAAGGCTGACCAATTTTAAGCTAAGCAAAAGTAAAGGATGGAAGGGTGTACGGGTATTCAGCACCATGCTAAGAATGATCACCATCAGCCACTTCAACACTGGGAACAAAAGTATTGCATCGTTGTTTTAACTCAGATTGCTTTTATTATTAGCTCACAACTTTTCATATAATGATTGGCCATTTGCTTTTCTTTCCCTATGATTGGTTTTTGCCCATTTTTAATTTGTTGTTTTTTCTCTTTTGATTTTCAAGAACTCCTGTATATAAGGGAATTAAGCTATTTAATTATGCCTCTTGATTTCTATCTCTGTTTTCACATCTACAAAATAGAAAGTAATTTCAGAACTGGCTCTACCACAGGTTGACGTGAGATCAGGCAGACAAAAGAGGTGGAAGCACACTCACAGGGAAATGTTGTTCCAGTGTTAGGCCTTAGGATGTGTACCTCACTACAGGCTGACCAAACTCATCAGTCACAAAATTTCAGTCGGCTCCTGCCTCTCATGATGTAAACGTAGCCATGATAGAATGAAGAAATATAGTAGTGTCATATATCTATTAAAACTTAGATTTAAATGTTTGATTAATAGCAGGCTAATTGACCCAGTTTCCTTCAGGTTCTGAGCTGGCACTAATGCATATATGCAGCCTCAGTGGTGGTCCACCCTGTGTTGGAAATGGTCTTGTCTCCTCCCATCCATCATAAACTGATCTGAACTCTCTAATTTTCTTTATCCTGATTTTGAAGTAGGTCTGTGCATGAATGTCTATGCTGAGGTTTCTGTGGTGGGTGGTTTGTTTTGTTTTGTTTTCTTTAAGGGAAAAGAAATAACTGTGAACAAGTCATGTCTTCTCCATCACCACTTCATGAGATGGTATCACGAACCTCATTTTGTAGACAAGAATTAACTTAGACGTTAGTAACTTACCCAAGTGGAAGTAGGTGTAGGCCTCTGTGAATTCCATATTGCTGCGTAACTACAACCACAGATTTAACAGCTAAAGATGGCAGAGGTGTAGGCCCTCCCATGTCTAGTCAGGAGTCTAACACAGCATGGCTGGATTCTCTGCTCACAGTCTCACAGACTAAAATGAAGGTGTTGGCCAAAACTGAGTGCTTCTTTCAGGCCCCAGGTCTTCTTCAAATTCATTCAGGTTGTTGGTAGAATTCAGTTCCCAGTTTCTTGTGGTTGTAGGACCAAGGTAACTATTTCCTTCTTGACTGGCTCCATCTCTAACATTTAGCCCCAGATTTAAAGGAATACCTAGATACTCTCCCTTATTGGTTAATGCACAGTCACCTGGTGAGTAACTTTACTTGCATCTGTGAAATCCCTTTTCCATGTTACATACTGTCATCACAGGAGCCCAAGCTCTATGTTCATAGGATCTACCCACACTCAACACGAGGTACGCATACAAAGTACATACTAGACGTGGGGAGTCTTTGGGGCCATCTTAGGACTCTGTTCCCATGTGGGCCATCTGACTCCAGACTTAATGCTTTTTCATTAGTACTGTGGTGTGCCATATAAAATAAAGAAACGGACCACAGAATTTACTAGGATGGATGTGTGGGCTCTTTGGCCTTTGAAAATGCTTAATTTTGTGCTTGTCGTTTCAAATATTGCAGTGCCTGGAAGTACTGAGCCTTTTATGACTCAAGGACAGATGCCCAACAGCAGCATGCAGGACATGTATAACCAGACTCCCTCAGGGGCATTGTCCAATCTGGGCATGGGACAGCGGCAGCAGTTTCCCTATGGGGCCAGTTATGAGCGAAGGTAAGTGTTTGTCAGGAATGGCAATCATTAGAAACCACGTTCGTCTAACACACGTTTCTGAGCCCTGCTAGCAGAGCCACCAATGGCAGCATGGCAAGTGGCGTTCCCTGCCAGAGCTGCTACAGATCACTCAGTGGTCTCGGGTAGTTGCCTTCAGTGGACAGCCATAGCAGGACCGCAAAGAAGGACCTTGTTTCAAGGCAACCAAGTGGCTGTATGTTATTATAAGCAAATGCTCAGATGCATAAACTAGATGTTCAGATGTCAGGCTATGGCAGGAGTCTTCTGCCTAAGAACTGAAGAGCCAGGCCCATCCCATGGCTCGGTTCCCTCCAGTGGCTCCACTGGAGTGACTCAGCTACAGCCCAATGGAGTGGCCCAGCTACAGCCCAGGGGTCCTCTGGGCCCTGCTAGACTCGGACTTTCCAGTACCAGCTCTCCTGCCTGCATTCCCTAGAGTGTCTGTGGGTAGTAACTATACTCAGCTTTTAGCATTCTGGAAAGGTCTTCCAGGTTTGGACATTCCTGGTACTGCATCTTCAAATATTTGCACAAGAATATACTGTGCTCTTAACAAAGCATCTGAGAAATCCAATACTTGGGCATATGGGAGCCTCTCTGAGGAAGCCATCCAAAATCCAAGGGGCATGTCAGGCCATAAGACTGACCCAGACTGGTTTTAACTGGATAGAACAGTCAGTGCGGCGTCACAGAGAGGTTATCAGAAGCTGCACCTACAGTGGTGTGGGGCAGGCTTCCTTTGTGAAGAGATTCCCTCACCTGTGCCCTTACTGTCACAAACACCCTTCACAGTGCTGGAGTGTTCTCTACCGCCCGTGTAAGTGAAATTCATAAACAAAGCTCAGTGCAGTATTTGTGATTTTTAAAGAAAAACATGGAGGCACAAAAAAAGGCCTTTGAAGGCCCTTATACTCACTGTGGTCACACTGTCACACACAGTACAGGGCTGACCTCTAGTCCCTTTCTCCAGGATCTAGATGTGGTGTCCACCCAGGGCAATCTGGTGGTAGCCAGCCCCTCTCACTAGCACACCTGCTGGGAAGGAGAGATGCGTGGAAAGCATTCCTTAGTTTAATACAGAATTAGGACATTTGAAAGATCACTCACCAGGTTAGGTTTCCTCCTGGCATTTTCTATGAGCCTGACTCCTTTGGCAGGGGGCAGTACTGGAATTTAAATTCTGGGCCTTGTGCTTGGGTAAGTAGGCATTCTGTCCCTTGGGCCACACACCCAACCCTTTTTTACTTTAGTTTTCAGATAACTGTCTTGTGCTTTTTGTATGGGCTAGTCTCAGACCATGATCTTCCTACCTATGCCTCCCTCATAACTAGGATTGCAGGTGTGTACCACTACACTCAGCATGTTTGCTGAGATTGGGGTCTCACTAACTTTTTGCCAGGCTGGCAGCAAATTGCTATCCTCCTGAGATCTACCCTCCAAGTAACGGGGATTACAGGTGTTAGCTACCATGCCTAGCTTGAGCCTGGCCATCCTGTGCTCATAGTGACAAGGTGCTTTCTCATTATTGTAATTCTTACCCTCGCCATAATGTGACAAATACCCATTTGTGATATCTGTCTTCATCAGTTAGCCGTAATGTAGCCTTTAATGTGTTGGGTCAGGCCTTTAATTAGGTTTGGGTTATTTTTGAGGGTCCAATAAAAGCTACAGATTTTTTTTCTGATGAAATTAGAAGGACAGTTGTACTGGGACAGATGTTCTTAAAGGATCTCAAGTAAATAGACTTTTCTGTCTCTTCTAGAATGCTTCCTCAAATACTGCATGACCTCAATTTAGGAGTGATTTTTGGTTCCACCACAGTAGAGAGAGATTGTTGAGTTGCCTCTTATGAAAAATGTTATTTGTTCATCTTAAATTTTCGACATGTCAATTATATTTCTTTCCTCCTAACAGTGAGCTTCTCTCCAGAGAATCATGGGAGTTACCATACTTTCCCCGTGCCTATTGACATGCAGTTTTCATATTCTCAGTCCCCCATCAGGTTAGGGATGTATTGAGTCCAATTACTCTTTCTTGTAAGACTCAATGTTACTAACCAAGCCAGTTTATTTTTCAAAATTCCAAATCTGTTCCCCTTGTAAATATGCTGTTTTGATGACATTTATAATTTCTCAATATAATAGCAACTGAAAAATAAATGTGTTATTCATTTCCGTGTTCATATTTGATAGAAGTACATTTCAGTCATTGTTACCCTTTTCTGTGGCTTTTTAGGTCATAGAACTTTGAAATTTTTAGTAGTTGTATCTGTACAATTCAACTCACTCAACATCATTGAAATTAATTTCAAAGTATACCTTTAAAAACTTGAACATTTTATATTTACCATGAGAAAGTGAAAAGCAGAAATATTTTCCATGTTTTAGAACACACAGAAATACTGCTTTTTAGTCTTAAATTCTTGCTTTCATTAATTCCTCCCGTGACAGCATTGTGTGGCAGGGTAGGTGTGGCTTCTACCTCAAAGGAGGATGCCAAAGGCTTGGACAAGTGCTTACAAGGTGCCTGCCTGTTCAACCGGTATTGCTCCAACATCTATTAACAACAGCCAGAGCCAGGAGTCTGGCATCATTCCCAAGATGGGTGTTCCCATCCATCTTGCTAAAAGCCAAAGTGGAGCTGCTGCTGGGGAGCTTGTAGGGTGCCAAGCACTGCGCTTGTGGGGAAAACAAAGCCATTGGGAGAGGAGTTTCCAGAAATGGATTGTTCCTGGCTGTGTTCATCTAAAGTCCTTTGTAAATTAAGTTTTCTTTGAATGCCTCTTTCTAGGCATGAGCCTTATGGGCAGCAGTATCCAGGCCAAGGTCCTCCCACAGGACAGCCGCCGTATGGAGGCCACCAGCCTGGCCTGTACCCGCAGCAGCCGGTGAGTTGGAGAGTGGGTGTGGGTCTCTGCCTTCTGGTTCTCCCCTGGTGGCGTAAACCCAAACTTGTCTTACATCTGAAGATTTTTAGTAAGTATAACAAAAATCATTTGCTTTCCTGAGCATTTAGGATATATTTACCTAGAAAGTAATCCTCGGATTTTGAAATCTGCAAATTAAAAGCAGCTCTTGATATGTGGTATTCTGGACCAAATACAACATGTTACACAAAGCTAAGGACATTGTACTCATGTGTTTACTGAATTCAACCAACCATACATCAAAAATATTGTGAAATTTCTAAAACCATGAGCAGAATGTGCATATACTTTTTCCTTGTCATTAATCCCTTAACAATACAGATAGACCCACTTACCTAACATTCGTTTACATTGTATTAGGTATTCTGAGTAATCCAGAAATGATTTAAATTATGTGACAGCATGTACACAGATTATATGCAAACACTGAGCCATTTTATATAAGGGACTTTAGTGTCCTTAGATTTGGTTATCCCAAGGGTCCTTGAACCAGTCCCCTTGGATACCAAGGGACCAGTTTATGCTCTTACATCAAAAGCCATCATAAAACAGAAATCTGTCACTATTTTAAAGAATACATTAAAAAAGTAACTCATTGTTATATTCTAAGAGTGAAAGTGGTTTTTAAAGCTGATGCTGAGACCATACGTTTTGAGTGAGTGGAGGCAGCTGGACTGGCTAGTGGCAACCATCACAGTGCCGTCATGCCCTTCCCTATGCCTTCAGGACTGGTGCCTAGGACAGAGCTCCCTGCTGTGGCTCTCAGCCATAGGACCCTTTGCTGTTTCTAAACAGCCTTTCAGGTCTGAGGCCTTTTGTAAAACAGAGGAATTTTTTTTTTAGTTTTGCTTTTTGTTTTTTTGGGGTTTTTTTTGTTTTGTTTTGTTTTGCGGTACTGGGGTTTGAACTCGGGGCCTGTACCTTGAGCCACTCTACCAGCCTTTTTCTGGGATGGGTTTTTTTTTTTTTTTTCTCTGAGATCAGGTGTCGAGAACTATTTGTCTGTGCTGGCTTCGAACCACTATCCTAGCCTTCTGGGTAACTAGGATTATAGAACTGAGCCACCAACACCTGGCTTTTTTTTTTTTTTTTAGAACTTTTTAATCACAAAGTAGTTTTTACAAATTTGTTTAATTTTTCTAGAATGTATATGTACAGTGAATTATATTACTAAACCAACTGATCTTAAAGAATGCCCAAGTAAAGTGAAAGATCACTAATTAAAATCTGCAGCTTCCATCCACCTGGTTGGCACTAGTCCCCAGAGAGTCCCCAGGAGGAGCGCTTAGAGAAAGGTGCTTTGTGGCAGGAGCCATAGAAAGGATGGTAGGTGAAGTATGAGGGGCAGAATCTGGCTTGGAGGCTTTTCTCTAAAGTGAGGCCTAAGATAGCTCTTTAGCCTAAAAACTTCTTCAGGCTGAGCCTAGGGACCTAGTACATTCCCATGAGGCAAAGTCTTCTGGCTCCGTGGATTGTCTTCGTGTAGCTCCATCTCCTGCCCAGAGTCTTGTCTGTCACCAACACTATGTTGCCCCTATTTTACAGCCAAAGGGAGATGGAGCTTTGTTTTTCCCACAAAAAGTCTGAAACACATGAACACAAACTTGGAAGCCCTCTTCAGAGTATGTAACATGACATTGTATGTAGTGAAATATGGTCCCTAGATTGTTAGTGCTTATTGTTTCATAGGAGCTTCCCATCTTCATTTTGAAATGAACATCCCACCAGGTAATAACTGTTTGTAACTGTTTTTGCATAATCTGGTGTATGATTATACCTATAAGAGACATGAGTATGGGTTGTCTTATGAATTTCAGAATTACAAGCGCCATATGGATGGCGTGTACGGACCTCCAGCTAAACGCCACGAGGGGGACATGTTCAACATGCAGTATGGCAGCCAGCAGCAAGACATGTATAACCAGTACGGGAGCTCTTACGCCGGCCCAGACCGGAGGCCCATCCAGGGGCAGTATCCGTACCCCTACAACAGAGAGAGGATGCAGGGTGCCGGCCAGATGCCACCACATGGAATCCCACCCCAGATGATGGCTGGCCCAATGCAGTCATCCTCCAGCGAAGGGCCGCAGCAGAATATGTGGGCCGCACGCAATGATATGCCTTATCCCTACCAGAACAGGCAGGGCCCAGGCGGCCCTGCACAGGCACCCCCTTATCCAGGCATGAACCGCACGGACGATATGATGGTACCTGATCAAAGGATCAATCATGAGAGCCAGTGGCCTTCCCATGTCAGCCAGCGCCAGCCTTACATGTCGTCTTCAGCCTCCATGCAGCCCATCACACGCCCACCTCAGTCATCCTATCAGACTCCACCATCACTGCCAAACCACATCTCCAGGGCACCCAGTCCAGCTTCCTTCCAGCGCTCCCTGGAGAACCGCATGTCTCCAAGCAAGTCTCCCTTTCTGCCTGCAATGAAGATGCAGAAGGTCATGCCCACGGTCCCCACATCCCAGGTCACTGGGCCACCACCCCAGCCACCTCCAATCAGAAGGGAGGTTACCTTTCCCCCTGGTTCCGTGGAAGCATCACAACCGGTCCTGAAGCAAAGGCGAAAGATGACCTCAAAAGACATTGGTAAGAACGCCAAAGGTTTGTTCCAGAAAGGAGTTCCAGTTGTAATCTAGAATTTTAATTTCAGCTTAGTTTAGACATGGTCCCTGTTAATCTCAGTGGGATGAAGGTTTTAGGACTACAAATTATCACAGTGTTTTTATATAGGAGCAATAATTGGAAGCCACTGATCCAAACCAAGGAACAGTGCCCGAGAAGAGTTTCAATTAAGATATTTTTAGATTAAAAATATTATTTATGTGAAACATCTGGAAATCCTCAGTAATTATACATTGTGTTTAAACTTAAAGATTTGACCTTAACCAACCCACTTGTCACTGCAATATGTGCTTAGCAGACCTCCTGTGAGGGTGACTGAGAAAACGTGAAAGCATGCCATCCTGACTTGGTAACAACGTTCAGCGAATTTCTATGGGAAAAAGTAGAGCCCTGGCTGTGATGGCATGGAGATAGATGGGTTGATATGGTGCATGGTATATGCTATGATAGGATGTAGAATTGATGTCATCACACAACACTGGCAGGTGCAGACCAAGGAGCTCCTTCACCTACGTGCTGATTTTGCTATTCGTCCTATGTGGTATGGAAGAATACTGATTAGAGATCTGCATGTCTGGGAGTACACACAGTCTTCCTGCATTTCATTTGAAATCCTCTTCACACAGCAAGGGAAATAATAGTTCTTGGTCGTATAAGAAAACCTTTCAAGACTTTCGGGATCACTTGACTTAAAATAATTTTTAATGATTAGAGAAGTAAAGGCATTAAAATAATGACATCAAAGATGTTTTTGATAATTGATATGTAGCATAAGAGAGAAAGTAAGGCATCTTTATTATATATAGGGGGTTATAGGGAGAGAGACTGAGGTCAGACATGAGCACCATTTACTCAGGAGACAGAGATTGAGAGGATTCCAGTTTGAGGCCAACCTAGTCAAAAAGCAAGACCCCATCAATAGACTGCATATGGTGGTGCACACCTGTCATCCCAGCTATGTGGGAAGCATAAATAGGATTGTGGTCCAGGCAAGCCCCAGGCAAAAATGCAAGGCCTTATTTGAAAAATCACTAAAGCAAAAAGGGCTGGAGGCATGGCTTAGGTGGTAGAGGGGAAGCCCTGAATTCAAACTCCCCCGCTTACCATCGTAAAAAGCAGACTCTCCCTTTTCCTGTCCTTTCTATGGAAAATTCAGTGAGTTACCAACTCTTCACCCAAACTTCAGGCTCGCTCCTTTATTAACTCTGAAAAATATTATCTAACTACCACCAAAAAAAAAGAAAAAAATCCCACCCCAAAAAAACAAAATACAGTTATGTATGTTTTTGTGTCTAAACAAATATACTCAAATTTGTGCAGAATTTTAATATTAATATCAGTGCTTGTCTTCAATCTAGGGAAATTTATGTTCCCTCTTTTTTAAAAAGTAAATTTGACCTTTTTATTATAAAAATAATATGTACCTGGCTTAGAAAGTTTGAAAATAGAATTAAAAGAGGGACAGCCTTGGACACTCCCCACACCACCTTACTGTGGGTGTCCAGAGCCCCTCCTGTCCACATGGCTGCGGCAAACAGTGGTGCAGGCAGACCACACACACACACACACCCGCCAGTTCCAGCGCACGCTGCCCAGGCCTCCTGGGCAGCACCTGCTGAAAACTCGGACGCCCATCATGGGCTGATCTCACAGCGTTTATCTGACCACTCTGCCTCAGTAACAGGAGCAGAAAAAACAAAATGTTTACTACTTGTTGGCTCAGACCTCACTCTTGAAAAATCAAATGTCAAAGTGTTAAGGTTTGTCCACAGCGTGTTCTGGGGACAGGAGTGTACACGTGGAGAAAACAGCATGGCAGCATCAACACTGTCTCTCTGAGGATGTGCTGTTCCAGAATTAAATTTTGCTTTTCATTCTGCGTACTTCTGCTTTCTGAAGGTGCCACCTTGAGACACTTGTGCGTGGAGGAAGCAAAAGAAGACTCAGGTTGCTTTGGGTTTGGCTTGATTATTAAACACTGGAGCATTATTATAGACTCTGTTGAGTGGTAAAAGAAATACACCCACAATGACAAGGACTGACTGCTCAATCATGCCCATCCACTTCCGGAGGCACTTTTGGCTCATCTTTAATAGCAAAGCAAAAAGATCATGAACAACAAAAGTTGCCCGTACTTCCATTTAAAATCAGAAGATGATCATGTCTGTTTTTACAAGATTGGTTTAAAATCAGTATTTAGCTCAGCACTCTACTTATTTTCTCTTACTCTTTTGTTACTGTCTGTTCCTTCCTGTTTTTAGTTACTCCTGAGGCATGGCGTGTGATGATGTCCCTTAAGTCAGGTCTGCTGGCTGAAAGTACTTGGGCTTTGGACACTATCAACATTCTTCTGTATGACGACAGCACTGTTGCTACTTTCAATCTCTCCCAGGTGAGCCAGCACCAGTCCAACCAACAACCAGTTAGCATGTTAAAAAATTGCAGAATGCTTAAGCAGATACCTGAGTTAACTGACAGTGACTAGCTAACATTTTTAATCATTGTAGTTATTATAAACCAATACGAATCAATATATAGTTGTCTGAGAATTCATTCTGAGATACTCATTTCAGATTTAGTATATGTATACGCATATAGCTATGTTTCTCATAGGAAAATGGTGACCTGTGTGTAATTATAGCAAAGTTATATTATTGTTTAGAATGAATACTAGCAGGCCAATGGGAATTAATCAAAATGTAACACAGTCATAACTAGAGTCAGTATGAGGAACACGGTTGGTTTCAGTGGGATAGAATCCTGCATTCCAGGAGGACTTGGCATCTTTCTTTTAACCAATAAGAAATTGTATATTATAGGAAATGCATAAAATGCTTAAGACTAGACTAGAAAGGAGATTTGTGAAATTCTCTGTCCCTACTGTCCAGCTAAAACGGGTAGAAACTCTTGGCCACACTTGGTTCTAGGTCTGACCTCTGGGTTGTTTTGAAGCAGTCATCTTAAAGCTGCTACTTTTAACGAGCTTGAAATCCTCCTTTGTTCAGAGTTGGGTTTAATGTACCATCCAGAATAATGGCTGAAAGAGAGAGGAGAACTAAGAAAAATACCCAGGAGTCAACTGGGCTATAGATTTTAAAGGAATATTTAGAAGTAAAAAAATGAGAAAAGGTTATTCTCCCTATGATATATAAACAACTCTGTTTTCTGTGACAAAAACAACCTGTCCAGTTTTCTCTATTGAAATAAGAACAGAATCTTCCACTTCCTCTTTCTTCTCTCACTTATATCATCAGCATAACCTAGAGAGGCAATTTTCAGCAGATAGAAGTATGTTAATGTGGTCATAAGCATTGCAGGAGGTCTGTTTTAACAGAAAATAAGTATTTAAAAAATTTATCCAACCTTCTTTAGATTAATTAACTTTCCTTGTAACAGGTGACTGTGACTAGTTCACACATTTTCAAACCCAGAACTGCTTTATTAAGTCTCCCTTTTCCCCAGGGAAAAAGTAAATTTAAAAAGTAAGGGGAAAAATCATCCAGAATTCCACTTGGAAAATTGTTCCTTCAGGACCCTCAGAGTCAATCTTTGTACAAGTTGGTGCTAAGGTTCCCTGACATCTGGACACTTGCTCCAAACCCCCTTTTAAGAAACCAACAGCAAGCCAGGGGTTGTAGCTCAACCCATAAACCCTAACTACTCAGGAGGTAGTGATCTGGAGGATAGATATTTGAGGCCAACCTTGGCAAACAGTTAAAAGATCCCAACACAGCCAATAAAAAGGTAGGTGTGGTGGTACACACCTCTCATACCAGCTTCTCAGGAAGCATAAATAGGAGGATCCCAGGCCAGGCCAGCCCAGGCAAAAAAGTGAGACCCTATTCAAAAAAATACCTAAAGCAAAAGGGGCTGACAGCATGGCTCAAGTAGTTGAGTGCCTGTTTAGCAAGTTCAAGACCTTGGGTTCAAACCGGAGTACAAAAAAAAAAAAAAAGACAGTAGATAGGAAAGTGTATTGGTTTCCATTAGATCTGTCCTTGAGGAGTCATTATTACACATTACTTACTACTTTACAGTCCCTAACAAATGGCAGGCTGTGTGTTAGGGAGGAGCTAGGTGGTTTGGTCTTGGAATATACAGGTTTCCTCTAGATACAAACATTTACTCAAAGGAAACACAGCTTGTTCTCACAGCCAGTGGTTCTCTCGTAGTGGCTTTTGTCTTTCAGTTACAGTTGTGAATAACTGAAATGTAAAACTGCACTTTATGAAACATTCTAATTCGTTTATCAGGGACTAAATTGATCTGTTCCTAATTCTCATTGTTTATAAGCTTCTACACTGCTAAATTATCTTCTCCAAAAGATTTATAGGGAACGTAAATTAGAGTAACCTATGGCACCTGAGATAAAAATAACCATAAGCCTAAGAATTATAACCATAAAAATTCCCAGCAGGCAAGGATCAGGTAAGTAAGAGAAGAGAACAGAGTCACTCTGGATGAAAGAGCCCATAAAATCCACATACCTACTTCTCCTATACCAAGTGCTTTCCCCTACATCAGAACAGAAAGGTAAAGAGTGGCAAAGCACTCACCTCCAATAACAGAAGTGATATAAAAACGAAGAGTCAGTTTTCAGCTTCTTTGGCAGTGTGAGTCAGCAGTAAGCAGGAAACACGCTCCATGTTGGTTTAGTTCAGCATGCAAGGCTCAGGAAAGAAGGTAGTTCTTGTAGATATTGCAGCGTGCCTTTTGTGGTCCAGCCAGAGAGGAATTCAAACCTGTGCGAATGTCATTTTAAGAATGTACCATAGCACTGAGTACAGTGGCTCACAGCTATAATCCCAGCTACTCAGGAGAGGAGATCGGATTGAGGCCAGCCCAGAAAATAAGTTAGTGAGACCCCATCTTAACACACATGTTGGGCCTATAATCTCAGTACATGGGAGACACAGGTAGCAGGATTGAAGTCCAAGGTTAGCCTGTGCAAAAACATGAGACTATTCAAAAAATAGCTAAAGCCAAAACAGACTGGATCATGGCTCAAGTGCCTGCCTTGCAAACACAATGCCCTGAATTTAAATCCCAGTAATCCCAAAAATAAATACGTACAGTGCCATAGCTCTCAGCCTGTTTGCCCCTCCCAGGCCCAGGCCCAGTCCCAGGTGACGTCATGGCATTATACCTGTTCTTTCTTGTTCTTTTCCTCCTCTCTAGTTGTCTGGATTTCTCGAACTTTTAGTAGAGTACTTTCGAAAATGCCTGATTGACATTTTTGGAATTCTTACGGAATATGAAGTGGGTGACCCCAGCCAAAAAGCACTTGACCGCCGTGCAGGGAGGAGAGATGACAGCCAGTCTTCCACCGACGATTCTGGGAACGAGGAAGATGATGCTGAATGTCTTGATGAGGACGAGGATGAGGACGACGAGGATGAAGATGGCGACAAGACAGAACTGGAGGCGAAGAGCTGCACTGCTGTCCCCACTGCGGATGCTACTGCAGACCCCAAGGAGAAGCCCAAGCAGGCCAGTAAGTTTGACAAGCTGCCCATAAAGATCGTCAAAAAGAACAACCTGTTCGTGGTGGACAGGTCTGACAAGCTGGGCCGTGTGCAGGAGTTCAGCAGCGGGCTTCTGCACTGGCAGCTCGGGGGCGGCGACACCACAGAGCACATCCAGACTCACTTCGAGAGCAAGATGGAAATCCCGCCTCGCAGACGCCCGCCTCCCCCTTTAAGCTCCACGGGTAGAAAGAAAGAGCCAGAAGGCAGAGGTGGTTCTGAAGAGCAGCCAGAGAAAAGCATAGTGGCCACCATCGATGACGTCCTGTCTGCTCGGCCAGGGGCCCTGCCGGAAGATGCAAACCCCGGGCCTCAGGCCGAAAGCGGCAAGCTCCCCTTCGGTATACAGCAAGCCAAAAGTCACAGGAACATCAAGCTGCTGGAGGACGAGCCCAGGAGCCGCGACGAGACTCCCCTGTGCACCACCGCGCACTGGCAGGACTCGCTGGCCCGGCGCTGCATCTGTGTCTCCAACATCGTGCGGAGCTTGTCTTTCGTGCCTGGCAACGACGCCGAGATGTCCAAACATCCAGGCTTGGTGCTGATCTTGGGGAAGCTGATTCTTCTTCACCACGAGCATCCAGAGCGGAAACGAGCGCCACAGACCTATGAGAAGGAGGAGGACGAGGACAAGGGGGTGGCCTGCAGCAAAGATGAGTGGTGGTGGGACTGCCTCGAAGTCTTGCGGGATAACACACTGGTCACGTTGGCCAACATCTCTGGGCAGCTAGACTTGTCTGCGTACACGGAAAGCATCTGCTTGCCCATTCTGGATGGCTTGCTGCACTGGATGGTGTGCCCATCTGCGGAGGCACAAGACCCCTTTCCCACGGTGGGACCCAACTCGGTCCTGTCGCCACAGAGACTCGTGCTGGAGACCCTCTGTAAACTCAGTATCCAGGACAACAACGTGGACCTGATCTTAGCCACACCTCCGTTTAGTCGTCAGGAGAAATTCTATGCCACGTTAGTTAGGTACGTTGGGGATCGTAAAAACCCAGTCTGTCGAGAAATGTCCATGGCGCTTTTATCGAACCTTGCCCAGGGGGACGCGCTGGCAGCAAGGGCAATAGCTGTGCAGAAGGGAAGCATCGGGAACTTGATAAGCTTCCTAGAGGACGGGGTCACGATGGCGCAGTACCAGCAGAGCCAGCACAACCTCATGCACGCGCAAGCCCCGCCTCTGGAGCCGCCAAGCGTGGACATGATGTGCAGGGCGGCCAAGGCTCTGCTGGCCATGGCCAGAGTGGACGAGAACCGCTCGGAGTTCCTCTTGCACGAGGGCCGGTTGCTGGATATCTCCATATCAGCTGTCCTGAACTCCCTGGTTGCGTCTGTCATCTGTGACGTACTGTTTCAGATTGGGCAGTTATGACATAAGTGAGAAGGCAAGCATGTGTGAGTGAAGACTAGAGGGTCACGTGTAACTGGCTGTTTTCTGTTCTTGTTTCTCCAGCGTAGGAAGAAGGAAAAGAAAATCTTTGTTCCTCTGCCCCATTCACGATTTACCAATTGGGAATTAAAGAAATCATTAATTTGAACAGTTATAAAATGAATATTTGCTGTCTGTGTGTACAAGTACATCCTTTTTGGGGTTTTTTTATTTCTTTTGTTTTTTAACCAAAGTTGCTGTCTAGTGCATTTAAACGTCATCTTTTGTTTTTCACAGATTTTCTTTTTAATGTTCTTTTCCATGTTGTATTACATTTTGGGGAAGCAAATTGACTTTAAAGAGAAAGGTTTGGCAAAATATTCTGAGATGGGAGCATTGCACCACACTGATGCATAAAGGTGAAAAGTTTATCAATTTCTTAAGCGTTTTATTCTTTGGAGAATAAAAAAAAAAATTCCGCATCCCAACACCCAAAGCTCTGTGCAATAGAAACGTCTTAGAGATACAGGGATAGGCCCAAAGAGGTGTGCCAGTCGGTATCAGAACTGTGAAGGAAAATGGCTTCTCCACAGGAAAATGGTTACACTAGGCTAGGAGCAAAAACATTGTCTTCTAAGTTAGGGGTGGAGATACGTACCTGACAGCGAGCAACGGAAATTGCTTCCTCACCACTATCGCCATGTCTGCTGTCTGTCATTTGGCCCCATGTGACAGTTCTTCACAATTCCTTTAATCATTTTTTAAATATTTTTTTTACTGCCTATGGGCTGTGATGTATATAGAAGTTGTACATTAAAATACCCTCATGTTTTTCTTTTGTTTTTCTTTTTTTTTAATTAGTACAAAGTTTTTAGTTTCTTTTTCATGATGTGGTAACTACAAAGTGATGGTAGACTTAAATAATTTTTTATTTTTATTTTATATATTTTTTCATTAGGGCCATATCTCCAAAAAAAGAAACAAAAAATACAAAAAACAAAAACAAACAAAAAAAAAAAAAACAAAAAAAAGAGGGTAATGTACAAGTTTCTGTATGTATAAAGTCATGCTCTGTTTCCAGAGGGCAGCTGATCACAAGTTGCTTCCTGAATCAAGGCGTGGAAATGGTTGCATATGGACTGACTTAGAGAGTGGTCACCAGTACAGACACAAAGCAAAACTACAACTAAAAGGAAGAAACACGACTTCAAAGATTTTTCAGTGACAAGAATCCACATTTGTATTTCAAGATAATGTAGTTTAAAAAAAAAAGAAAAAAACTTGTGTAAATTCCTCCTTTTCCTCTGGCTTAATGAGTATCATTTATTCAGTATAAAATCTTTATATGTTCCACATGTTAAGAATAAATGTACTAAATCTTGTTAAGCACTGTGATGGGTGTTCTTGAGTACTGTTCTAGTTTCCTTAAAGTGGTTTCATGGTAACCAAGTTATTCACAGGAAGTAGGAGAAATACAGCAGTGTCCTCCTCGTTAAAAACCCAAAGGTCAGAAAGGACCTTTCCGGTTCACCTACTTTAGAGTGGGGAGCAGCAGTTTGATTTTCTCAAATCATTTAGATAATTAGTCTTTCTTTGAAGCAATTAACTCTACGGACATTGAGGTGTGCTGATTTTCCTTATAGATGGGAGGTGGCTGCCAGCCCACATGAGGTGAGATCTCCAAAGCTTACCGGCCTGAAAATGTAATGATCTGCCTTTTACTAACTCCACCTTAATTTTAATCAAAATCCAATCTATCCCGTGTTTCTTCTATGTGCCTCGAAGTTACTCTGCATTTAGTTTACTCCACCATGTGTAATATTTATATTGTACAATGTTAAAAAGATATGTTATATTGTATGTGGCGGACATAGTGCAAAGTGATTATTTCTGTTTCAGGCCATATGATTCTCATATCCTTCCTACCTGGTGCACAGTAGCTTTTTAGTACTCGTCAGTTCTGAGTTAAACTTTTTCTTTCTGGGTCATTGACTGTTATTGTGTAACAATCAATTGCTAAGACGCTGCTGAATCACTATGCTGTTAGTGGACCCTTCTTACTCTGATTCTACCTCTCTCACACCTCTGTCAATCACAGCATACGCAGCAACTCCCAGGCCCGCGCCACACTTGTTACCTTGGCTCACCTTACTCCCAGTTAGACAGGAACATGCAGCTATGTTCAGAGTGAGACGTGACTCCAGTGTCACAAGAAAAATAATCACCCTGCCAGCAGTCTCATCCTCCATCAGCTCCCACACCACCTAGTCAGTCTTACATAACAACACAGCCAAATAGATGTTGAATCAAAGACCCATTTATAATTCTACTTTAAATACGTCTTCTTGTGAAGAACAGATTTAATGTTCCAAGCTTAAAATACAGAGATTTGTAAGAGGGAATTCAATATTCTAATTTCTCTCTTACAGAGTATGAATAAAAGGTGTTTGTGAACTCTGAATTCTTTTGTCAATCACAAGGGTAAAACCACTATGAAAAAGACTTGTTGCGCTTTGAGCTGTAGCCGACCCCCAGAGTGCGGCCACAGAGCGCTCTCCCTGTCACGCAGCAGAGGCCCTAGGTCCTCCAGAAGACCTAGCTCCTTTCTCCGCTCTCACCCCACAATCAAGACTTACCGAAGCCCACGAAGAATTTACGGCCTGCTTCAGATCATCTTGCCTACAAACTGAGTTACTGCTTTGTCCTAAAAATTAAGTTGGTTTTTTTTTCCCATGAGGCTTTTCACAAATTTACAGGATACCCATATTTTAAAATGTGTACCAAAAAAGATTAAAAAAAAATAATAAAGGTGCAAAGAAAGTTTAGTATTTTGGAATGGTGCTATAAAGTTGAATCTGTTGGTATTTGAGTGAATTTTTTGCATGTCACGTAAGAGCTACTGGGTGGCATCTGTTCAAAAAATAGCCGTGTGAGTGTTTGAGTTGAGAAGGGTATAGATCCGTTTCTACTGGTGAATGTGGCTCTTCACAGTCAGTTAAACTGTTACTCAGGTTGTAATGGTAACTTTCTAGAAGCAGACATGGCAGCCTTATGCATTGTCAGCTCTTAAGCGGCCCCTTACAGAAAGCAGACAGCCTTTCCCTGACATGCATCCATTTCCAAACTTGGAAATCTCTGCTCTCCTGCCTACCGTCTGCACAGTCCCCCCGCCTGCCCCCCGGCCTGGACTGTGATCACTTCTTTATCTGAGAACCCAGCCCCATGCCTGGAGCACCACCCTGAATGCATCCAGTGGAACCTGGAAGTAAACTTGAACTCATAGTTAGGCAAGCTTTTTAAAACTAAAAAATTTTTGGTAACAGGTAGTCTGCTACGGTGACAGGTTATTCATTAATTCAGCAGAGATGTATTCAGCACACATTACACGCTACACTAGAGGCTCTGAGGAGTCATCAGTGACCAGTGGTCCTGCTTCAGTTATAATCGTAGAAAATCAAGTAGTCTTCCCAGTACAGCATTTCTGCATTGAAAACACTCAACACTCTTGGTATTTATGCACCAGAAGCTCATTCTGTTCAAGAACACTCTAGCTGTTGCACCCCCAGCATGGCCTGTAGACTCGCTGTCATGCCCTGCAGGTGGCTCCAAAACGTTCCTACAAAGCACCTGCCTAAAAAGCCCACGTGAGGCTGCTTTTGGCTTCTGAGGTGGAAGGGAAAACAATGGTTCCCCAGTTCCCAATGGCCCCCACACCATGTGACTACACACAAAGGCCCCTGCTGTCAGGTACCCCCTGCCAGCTCCATTCCCTGCTTTGTGCCTCCATTTGGAGATCACCTATCTGACACAAGCCACACAGTCCTGGAGCCCAAAGTCCCCAATTAACTCTCTCCAGAACTTAAAATCAAATCAGGCAAAATCGGAGTGGGGGAGCTCCTCAAGTATGTCAGTCTGACTTGAGGGACTTAAGGTTTTACCCAGCTTTTCCCAAAAACGAGTTCACATACCCACACCAAAAAAAAAAAAAACCACTTACATATTCTTGGGGTGATCTGTGGTCTGTTTTACCATATTAAAGCCCAAGAAGCCGACACAGTCCAGTGCATTTCCTGACTTAGTTTCCTTCCAACCTTTTTCTTTTTTAGGAGTCTGTGAACATGCTGCCTAGCTTTGGAAAATGCCAGCTAGACAAAGGTCATGCCCGACTTTTCTCCTAAGTTGTTTTGTTTTTGAAATAGTCTAACTGCACAGCCCAGGCTGGCCTCAAACTTGAGATCCTCCAACCTTGGCTTTACAAGTACTGGGATTACAGGTGTGCTCCACCACACCTTTCTGTCTGTCTTTTTTGTTTTTTTGGTGGTTGTTGGCAGTGCTGGGGATTGAACTCAGGGCACTGAACTTTTAGGCAGGTGCCCTGTCACTTGAACCATAGCTGCAGCCTTTTTTTGTTTTAGTTATTTTTCAGATAGAGAATTTGTTTTGTTTTGGTTTTTGCCAGGGTCTGGTCTTAGGCCTCAGTCTTCCAACCCATGAAGGCCTCTAAGGTCAGGCCACAGGCACCTGACACTATGCCCAGCTGATCCAGATGGGGTTGTGCTGGCATGAGCCACCTTGACTGAGAGGCCCTCGTTGAAGGAGATAGTATGGAATCTTCTTTCATTGTCTCTGTGACCTTGAACTAGGTACATAACTTTTTTGAACCTCAGTTTTCTTAGCCATGATACAGACATAACACCCAGTTGGTAAGGATTAAATTTGATGAGGTATATAAAAGTCTTGTGACAACTGATAAGAGGTGATTGATCCTAAACGTACCTGCATGCATATCCACCCTCCTTTGGCTGGGGCCCTAAGGAGTACTCTGTATAGTTTTAAAATAAGCCCTAAGAGAATGTCTTGCCATTTTCACAGCCTATCAGTGTGTGTGACTTGTCATTTTTGGTTTTCTAGTAAAAGCCATAAAGGCTTGTTCTGTTGCTTGCCTTTGGTTAGTGCCAAGGGTGATTCTACATGATTTTTCTGTTGAGTGTCAGTTTGAGTGTCACACAACCAGGGGGAGGGAAGACTCCACTTTGCAACCTGGGGGAGGTTAATCTATGGAAAGTGAGTGTCCACCACCCACCCTGCCTGCTCTTCTGAAAAGGGCCTCGTAACATCTTTCAAAGGGCAGATCAGGCAGGTGACTGACTGCAGTATTTGAGTTGAAGTTCCTCCTGACACTGAGAATGTCCCCAAAGACAAGGGGCCCCTTCCTTCCCACTGGGCTGAGCAGGGCCGGAGCGCTCTGGGCACTAGAGGTGGAGTTCAGGATGCTCTTGGCTTCCGTGCCAAGGGAAGGTAGGGTGAACAAATGAAATATGACCTTTGCCCTCTGCATACGTTCGGCATTTAGCTGGCCCAAGATCTCATGGAGTCTACAAATGATCTTCCCAAAGAATTAAGGAACCAAACTGTGGGCACCGTTCTTGAGAACGTCCTTCAAGTGATCACGGGTTCCTTCCGGCGAGGACCACAGCATTTCTAACTGCTCTCCGGTAAGCGGTGATTTCTTAACATCTGGCTGGGTTTTGCACTTGAAGGGATTCCATAGCTCTTAGTTGTTTGCACAGAAGCCTCAGTATGGAGTGTTACCGTGCACGCTCCACAAAGACACAGGCATCACGGCACGTAACCCCCTGAGCTGGACCCAATTGAACCCTAGAATGTGTGTGCCCAAGAAATGTTTTCAGCTTTACACAAAATCCAGAGGACACCAGGCGCTTTTAGAACAAAAGCCATGATGTACAGTGGCCACGAATGAGAGGGAAAGAGAAGCCTCTTCTTATAGAGACAAGATTTTACGGTGCTGTGGTTAGACATGCCAGGCCAGCACTCTGCCACTGAGCTGTCACCCAGCCCTCTGTGCTCCCTTTATGTCTGCGCCTCTATGAACTGGCGTCATTTCAATTTAAACCAGAATCGGAGAACCACACAGCACTCTGTCCTTCCCAGGGTGAGCTCATCTATGCATTTCATTGAGAAAGAAATGCTAACGGCCCCTCCCCTGGGTGAGCAGGTTGTGACACAGGTCCCAGGCCTGCTTGTCTCCTCACCCCTCATTCTCAGAGGCTGCCTCCCACCTGGATTCAGGTACTCTGACATTCCCAGACACGTCAGACAAATTATTTTCCCACCTGAATCTTCAAATACACCACAAATGATTCAGTGGAATTGACATTTCTCTAAGAAGTACTTTGGACCAATACACTCCCACAGACCATACTCTAAGAAACTAGAATTCAGCATGAGCCAAACCCCAGCTGCCTTTTAAGGGGTGCCTCTCCCTTAGGAACGGCATGGCTGTCACCACTGTGTCACTTAGGTGCTGGAGGCTCTGCTAACCTGGGGCTACTGGCTCATTCTGCCTCGTGATTGACCACGGGCCTCTGCTGGCCAACACACAGAGTTCTGATTTCAAGGTAGCTTTCCCTTCGGTCTAACCTCATTTGCCCGTTGTTACTTGGAAGAAGACACCTGAGGAATGACAAGTACAGAGGACATGAGATGGAGACACCAGTTGCTTATGCCAGCTTGTTGAAGTTCTTTGCTCCCACAGAGGGGGTGACATGGTGTATTTTACCCTTTAGCATGAATATATTTAGGCTAAAATAAAGATTACCCATAAGTGCAATTCTTGTGTTGGTTCCTAGTGTTCTTCACCAAATGGTGTGAGCATATGGCTGGGACTTCTCTTGGCCATACCAGATGAAGGGAGAAGGCTCCTGATGGCAAAAAGCCATTGTGATTTATGGAGGTTCGTTTCAGTTCCCAAAGGGGAGCGTACAGTGAAGAACTTTCGATGTGCACATTTCTGCTCTCCACTTTGAACTTCTAATGGCGGCAATGGTGGCAACAGAAGATTAAGGGGAAAAAACAGGTTTTGTTAATTAGTGGGCGTTTATCTTTGTGGGCCCTGTTTTCAAAAGTTAAATTCACTATAGTAGTTTGAGGAATCAGAGTACCAAGCAATCAAATCTTGATACAAACTGGCATCTTTTCCCACCCACCCAGGATCTGTCTTTAATGGCCCTTGTTTAATGGTGAGATGTGTAAGTGCCTGTGAACTATTTCTGCAGCCTGGTGCTCATGCATGGAGTTGAACTTACATTTTTGGAGAACACTCTGGAGGCCTCGTGCCTGACTTCCTTTCTGCAGCTAGAAGTGAAAGATGCATTGTGTGTTTTCTCTACAGCATATCTGAAGCCAGGCTTTGGGGGATTTTACAGAGCCCCTGTCCTCCTCTGGGAAAGGCCTGCATTCCCACTCTGGACAGCATACCAGCTTCCCATGTCCACTCACCTGGCCTTCCTGGCCCCCAAGATGGAGAGCCACCCACCACCTGGGTGACGACCCGGCTGGAGGTTCTGTTTGTTCTCCCATGAGCCAGACAAGGGCCCCTGATTGCAAGGTGCTCACACTCAGTGCATTCCCCCTGCACGTACAGTCTAGCACTTAATAGACACTGCATACATAAGTCATGTCACCTTTTCATCCTGAAGGGCATTGAGCACATCACGTGCAGCCTAATGAGGGCCCCCGTGTCAGCAGGTAAGAGCCTCCATTTGACAGTGTTGCAGAGACATGCACAGGCTGCTAGGAGAGGATGCAGGGCGAGAGCCCAACAGGCTGCTTGTAGGAGACACCCTGGGAGGAGAGTGGAGTCAAGAACGAGGGAAGGCAGAGCACTCATCACAGGAGGGAACTAGGGAAGGTCCCTCACCTCCTGGAATTTAAAAGAAGCTGAAGATTTCTACTGCAGGTTGAAGTGGTGGAGGAAGGAGAGGTGAGTTGGTCTCTCCTGAGGAGCTGGCACTGGGGAGCTACTGAGCAGCGATGCAAGTCCCCAGACTTGCATTTGACCCAAGTGGGGCTTGACCACTTGGATCAAACAGGTGCCAAGGGCCACAGAGGACTGCAACAGGCTATTAAGGAGGTGGACTTAGCAACATGGCCATAGGTGACAACAGGGAAACAGAGATCTGAACACAGGCTCAGAATAGCACTGCCAGTTGCTGGGGGAACTCACGCTAGGTGAGCAAGCATGGGCCTACGGATCAAAAGAGTCGTCACCTGCCCAGGTGGGCCTGAGAGGAGCCAGCGTCCTAGAAAGCAGACACCTTC